ATAATGAGGTATGTTTAAAACAAGAATAGAGGAATTTATGTTTTTTTTTTTTTAATTCTGGAATACATCTAACGTTATGGATGGCAATCAAATACAGGGACAGAAAAAAGATATTCTTGTATATCTACAAATATGGAAAATCAGGGTCAAAGACCGAGAGGTCAATTTTTAACAGCGACATCTAGCGATTTACAGGTGCCAGCAGGGCATCAATAGCAAACAGAAGCTGATCTCTGATTGGCTATAGGGGAAATAGGTGACCAATGAAATCCAGCGTTACATAATCGCCTTGTTTGTCTAAAATGGCGGTCCGAGGTTGTGAAATCCTGTGCGAGTCAGCTATGTCGGCAAATTTCTCCGTTTTTCTGTCCGCTTTCAACGCTTTCTCTGCCCCCACTGGACGTCATTTCAGCTAGACTTGGGTGAGTCAAAGATAGACGCCCAAAACTCTCTTCATTCCGTCTTTGTATCTAATTTTTCGGCCGCTATCTTGACCGGCCCCTCTGGAGTTCCATCCGGAATCGATAAAATTAAAGCGGCGCTGCGAATACGTGGCATATCTGCGTTCTGTCAAATTTAAATCAACACTCTTGTTTATAAATAGTCGAACGTATTCTCTGTCATATTATTTATTCAAGGCAAATGGATTCATATTTCAGTTATTTTGTACAACTATTAAACTAAACTGTGTTGTTGAAATCGATAGGAAAGTGGGAGGGGGGCGGGTACATGTAGTTTGCGTAAGTTACGTTACACGAAGATAGAACGTGATCAACACGTGAAGACACTCGGGTTTTTGCTCACTGCGGTTCAGTTTTCATGAAAGAACTATGACCAGCTTTTGAAAAACCAATATCTGCTTACGTTGCATCTTTTTGTGTGAATGGAGTTATACTAAAAATCTGATGTATGTAAACAGGGGGCGTGTCATTTCTGAAAAGGGGAGGGTGTGTGTGAAGTTTTGACGTCATAGGGGCAAACCAGAAATGAACATTGTTATGTAAAATTTGTCACTTTACCTCTTTTTGTATTGATTCACTGTGTTAAGCTGAGTATCATAATTGATAAAACACCAAACTAACTTCATTGTCATATTTATATAGCTAGATGAGGCTGTCAAGATGAAATATGCTGTATTCTCTTGCTTTTATAAAGGTTGTACATGCTTGAAATGCCCCACGTAAACAAAGATCCAATATAATAACTAGAAAGGCCAATATTTGCTTAGGAGCAAATACAGTGATGGCTTCACCACATTTTACGACATGGTAGGGAAAGAATGAGAAACACAAGGGAAAACAATGATTTACATTGATATAACTATAATATGAAGTAACATACAACTAAAACAACAGTTGGATAGCTATTCCCTACTTTATTGGTTAGGATTTTTAATAATTGCATAATGCAAACTGTTGATTTTCAAAATAAAAAAAAAACGTTCATGCCCCGCATTCCAATGCTGGAGCAGGAAAGCTTGAAATACCTACCAAAACACTTGAATACAGACATACTGTCAGTATGAAAATGCTCTGTGCAGGTGTTAATCAAGTTAAATCCCAACAGCCAATCAGCAAGAAATGCTCTGTGCAGGTGGAAATGCTCTGTGCAAGTGTTAATCAAGTTAAATCCCAACAGCCAATCAGCAAGAAGAATAGAGGAAAGCTGCATGCCTATTGGTTGATGCCCTGCATTCCATTGTGATGACTCATGCCCAAACGTGGTACACAGCACAGTAATACATTTGCTATAACACAGCCAAAAAGCTCAAATAAAACCATTCTAAAAGCCTGTATCACCAAAATTTAAAAAACGCCTGGGGGTATTTGCCCACTGTACCTCCATACCAAATTTCAGGTCCTTAGGCCCCAAAATGAAGAAGCTGAATCCATTTAAAGATATGGCAGGAGGAGGAGAAGGAGAAACATCAGAAAAAGCAATATGGTTTCATTTCGTGGTGTGGTGAAGCCATAAATATGTTTTGACATATGGGTAACTTTTAGCCATTATGAATTTTGTTTGTATAATGCTAACAACAAATGAACAGAAACAACATTTTGACAAATATGGTTTACATAGATTTCTAATACATGTAGTAGATTTCTAATAGTCTGATTTTAAATCTTTTCCAGTGCCACCTTTACAATTATGGCTGCCTGAGAGGAGGGAGGACCATGGAGCAGTGCTAGGGACTGGGGAGGGGGGTGACGTTATTCTGACTCTGGGGAAAGAAGCAAAGGGATCAGACTTCTGCCAAAGACTGCTGAGAGTTCGTTTATTCACTCCGTAACTGCCTACAAATATATTATTTTTGTGAATAATCTTGAACACTGTTAATGTGTGGAATCACCAAGAACTGTGCCAATATTCATATAAAGCCATAAATTCTTAATAAGAGAGCACTCTATTTTTCTATATAAACAAAAAACCAAGAAAAAAAAAGTTGGACTGCTTGAGGCTTGAACCAAACTGTTGATGACAGCTCCGACAGTCAGGTGCTGTAGGAGTTGGTGTGTAGTAGGACAGGGGAGGGGGAGGGGAGAGAGAAGCTTACTCAAACGACCTTCACTCAAGGTCAAACCGTTGCCATGGAGAGGGTCGCCGTAGAACCTGACTGCACGCCGCGATGCCGCTCGTTCCGCCACGCCCGGGACCTGTTCTCGGTCATCACCCAGGGAACGCTCGCGCACGTGAGGGCGTTCTTCGGGAACTGCCACAACTCGGGGACCGTGTTTGACGAGCATGGGCGCACGGCGCTGCACGTGGCGGCGTCCTGCGGGAAGTGGGCCGTGGTGGAGTGGCTGCTGGGATTGCGGCGGGTGGAGGTGGGGAGGAAGGACTGGGAGTCGGGCTGGACGGCGCTGCACAGGGCAGCGTTCTACGGACAGGTCGCCTGCGCACTGCCTCTCATCAGGGTAAGCTGGTGTTGAAGAAGCCTTTTGGCACCAAATTGTACTGGTTACACAGGTTTAGGCAGCAGGGAGAAGGTTAAGTAGCTTGGTTTCCAGCAGATTTAGTCCTTATTCTCTTCCCATTTCTCTGAGTCTTAACTGAAAAGTATCCATCCCTATTTTCCGTTTGCTTCTCTTTATGGGGTACTGGATATATGGTAGGGCAGTGGTTTTCTGTGCCTCTCATCATGGTATCCTTCTCCCTGCTGAAGTAACGTGGGACTCTTAATCCCAGGGTCGTGGGTTCGAGCCCCACATTGGGCGCCACTGTAAAAACCGAAAGGGGCGAGCAGGTCACAACCGGGAATCGAACCCGAGTTGTTCGCTTGGCGGTCACCAACGCTGACTACACTAAAAGGTCGCACGACCCTTTAGCATGGTCAGTTAGCGGAGGATAAACCCCACTGTTACACTAGCACTAAAATTGTAAGTTGGTTGCAGAGTTAGGCAGCAGAGAGAAGGGTTGCTTGATATCCTTTGTCCTTAGTCCTTGTTCCTCTCTATTGAAAAGTGTACCTCCAAGGGAGAGGAAATACTAGTACTGGTAGGGATGGATACCAAGCTGTTGTTTTAGGCCATTTAAATTTAATTGTATGAATCAGAACACTGTCTTGCGAAGGTGGATCAGATATGTTTTAATGTATGTACATTTATTTGTATTGATTTGTTGTCCAGGCCTCAGCCAGTCTACAAGCTCAGGACAAGGAGGACCTGACCCCACTTGACCTCATCAGGAGAGACCTGCCGGATTATGTGGAGTTCAGAACAACAGGTAAGAAGGTTGCTACAATGGAGTTCAGCTAGTAACGTAATGTTAAGCTTATCTATGTGATAAAAATGAAGGTTAGACATGCAGGTAAAGTATTACTTACTTAAGTTATACAAAGTAAATAAAGAAACTGAATAAATTCTCTGAAGAGTCAGACACTTTTGGAAGCATCCACTGTCAATCAAGTAGGAGCTCAGGATTCTTTGATACTATGAAAATCAGTCCAATAGGAGCTAAGGGTCAACCATGGAAACCAGCCATTCCTATGGGCCTGACCAATAGAAGGGCTGCTAGAGGCGTGATGTAGTCAGGCTACAAGACTGCCCTGTGAAACTTGTACCAGTGCAGATTTAACTGTTGTTACGCAGACCCAGCAGACGCCTACAGCTGGGGAACCAACACTAACTTCACCCTGGGGCACGGCAGTCAGCAGAGCAGGCAACATCCGGAGGTGGTGGAACATCTGTTTAAGGAGGGAGTCAGTGTCGCACAGGTGAGTCATCTTAAGGTGTGAACACCTGTTCAAGGAAGGGTTTAATGTGGTACACGTTTAAGATGCCTTGGAGAGGGAAGTGAGTTTTCAGAGGTAAAGTCCACACAATTTTTTTAATGACCCTGAACCCTATGCAAAGTTAGGAAAGAAATGAGCTGGATTGATTTGTGTTTTTGTCCCAGTTTCCCTAATCTGCTCCAAGCATACCAGAAAGAGATAAAGTACAATTTTAGCTTTATTGGCCCAAAAATTGAATTTTCATGCCTCTCCTTTATGGCCAGGCAGTTGTGTTGAAGACAATGGATAGTCCTTGAGAGCCAATGTTGATGTTATCGTTGACACCCCCTGTGTTTTGCAGGTTGTCATGTGCAAGTTTCACACCGTGTTCCTGTCGCACAGTGGGAGGGTGTACACCTGCGGGCACGGCCGGGGTGGAAGGCTAGGCCACGGGAGTGAGCAGACTTACATGGTGGGAAATCAACACCAGTTTGTGTGGAATCTATGCAGATTTTTTCAATGTTTTATAACTTATAAAAAGTTCATAAGTTCATAAGTTATGACAGAAATAGAAGATGACCTGCTGAAAAAACCTTTTGGAACCAAATTTGTATTGGTTACAGGGTTATAAAACAGGGAGTCAATGTAATTTAACCCTTGTCCTGCTGGCAATTTTTACACGATATTTTCAAATAATTTGATGTTTTAACCAGGTCATTTACCCTTGACTTTTTGCCCTAACGTAGCGTAGTTCGTTCCGCATTCATTGCGTTTCGCTGCGGTGTGATGCGTTGCACGAGAAATACCCTCAAATTGTACATAGACGGTGCTATATTGATGGAACTGTATGTACAACCCATATGACAAGGCCCCACAGGACAAGGGTTAAAAGACAGATACATTTTGTTAGGCTTAACATGCATGTCCTCTCTTGACAATAGAATCTTTTGTGTTGAAATTTTAACCCAGTAATACAATTTTTTCTCTAGGTGCCCACTCTAGTAGAGGGTCTAGCCTCCCAGACTTGTATCCAGGTTGCAGCAGCAAGAGATCACACTGTGGTGCTGACAGATGAGTGAGTTCATCTTCACACCTTTTCTGTATCTGTATCTTTTCTGTATCTGTATATGGAATTCTTCTATTGTGCTGCCTTGATGTTTTGTTCCTAGTGCCATATGTAACAGCATGTCTGCAGAATGTACTGGAACTGAGCAAAACCTGTAACGTACTGTGCATAGCACCTAGGATGAACATCTCGTTTAGGGTCGTATTCGTGTATCTAAGGATGGAAAAAGATATCATTTGCAAAAAATTCTAATGCAATGCTGACCAAAAATCTTATGAAAACCTTGAAAAATCTCTGGGATACACACAGGCAAGGCACAGTATATGTTCTGCTGTTATGTTTGTCTACTAATAATCTGCTTTCTTTTTGTACCCAGAAACACGGTGTTCAGTTTTGGACTGAACTACTGCCACCAGTTGGGGGTGCTGCCTGCTCCAAAATTCTCCTCCACTCCTAGACAGGTCAGTGACCTACAGGTCAATACCCCCATGTTAGAACTTCATTGAAGGGTCTCTCTATTTGTTAACCTTGAACTTCAGTGAACTTCAGAGAATCAGTGACCATATTCTTAGTACAGTTAGTAGAACTGTTAGACATTTTCACCAACTATGTAATATATATGTTAGCATCACCAACTATGTATATTTTTCCATACGTTTCTACCTGCTACATCTATTGCACAGTAGTTGTTCTTGTTCTTTTTACCTGCCCTTTGGCATAGTGTATCATATTTCCAGGACAATTTGCTAAGAATACATGTCATTGACAGCATTTTTGATCTGTAAAAAGACACTAATATAAACCAGAGTAAACAAATGCAAATACAAGTATGGGTGTTTTCTTGCCCTTTAGGTTGCCCCCAGGTACCTGAAGAACAAGCGTATAAAGGGTGTGGCAGCGGGGAGGTTCCACACGGTTCTGTGGACGGACGATGCTGTGTACACCTGTGGGCTCAACGCTGGGCATCTCGGTAAAAACTGTTTATGCAAATATCATAAAACAACAAAAGGCTAATCTGAATCTTTCCTGAATTATAATAAACACACTGGTTCATTAGTCATGTAAAACAGCCACAAAGTCAACATTCCAGGCTTGTTTGTAATTCAAACAATGAATTTTGAAATTTCAATCATTGACGAATGGAAAAACTGTAACAACAAGGAAGACAAGGACTTTCTTCAACTTTTGCGGCCAAAATACGAGCATTTTGGAATTGATTTAGAATCAGAATAGTACATTTTTTTTGCAAATCAGAATAAAATTGAAGGAATCAAGTCTGAGAAACAAGGAATTAAATGATGGCCCACGTGTGTGTTCATGATGTTGGGTTGGTAAACTTTCGCATATCCTCAGGTTTACTCAATAAGCAATGAATAAATCATTAAATGTGATAAAAATTTATTTGCTTGTGTTGTCAGGCCTGCCCAAAGGTGACAGGACACAGGTCCAGCCTCACCTGGTCTCCGCACTCAACCTGAAGGACATCCACATCGCCATGGTAACAGCGAGCGACGGGGCGACGGTCATCGCCACACAGAAGGGAGACAACTACGACGTGTTCCTGCTGACAGACTATCAGTGCAGGAAAATCGCTTCTAAGTCAGTCTAACTATTAAAACTGTAAATATAACAGTAGGAAATGTATGACATATAACAGTAGAAAAATGATCAAGATTGCCTCTAAGTCTGTTTAACTCTTAAAACTGTAAACTAGAACTGTACAAAATTTAAATGTAAAATGCTGGTTCTGCTTTGAGATGTAACAGTGTGAAAAACATTGAAGATCACTTCCAAGTCAGTCAATGTCTCAAAAATATAAACTAGAGCTGTGACAGTGAACTGCTGGTTGTGTGATGTTCTGTTTTTGAGATGTAACAGTGTGAAAAACGATGAAGATCATTTCCAAGTTAGTTAATCTATCAAAGATCACAGAACAATTTAGTTTGGAAAGTCATTGTTAACTTTGCTACTACATGTACTTTTTTTGATGCCCAGTGAAGTGTCATTTGAGCATTCTGTACTTGATATAATGGTGTATCTATTTCTGATGAGAATAACATGACACCCGTATATAGAGGTACCTTAGGACTGGAATGCACCAGCTACAGTGTTGTTTTGTTCCAGGCAGCTGCACCTGACTAAACTGGCCGTGTTTGGAGGTCACCTGGACTCCAGTCTGGACAGAGACACTCTACAGGAACAGGGGGGAGACGATTTGGTCGTGCTGGCTCTCAACTCAGCCAATAAGGTAAGCTGTTACATGATACCAATGGCACATTTCAGTTGTAAACAGCCATTTCATTGGAAAATTATTTGAATAATGTCAGATGCAAGTTTTCCTCCTAGCCCAATTTTTTTCTTCTCGATCCTCTGCTAACTTCAAGTGGGAAATATCTGAGGACCAAAGAATTATGATGGACCGGCTAAGATTACTTTCTTCAATTTCTGATGAGATATCTTCAATGATATTTCTCTAATTAGACACCCATCATTTGTTCAAGCTAGGCCATACTTACAATTGTATGGTCTGTATTTTTCAGGCATTTACAGTTATCTGTTTTTATCAGGCACTTGCACTTACACTTACAGATATTTATGTATGAAGACTTTAGGCTCAAATCTGGTTTGTCTTGTTACTAGGAAGTAGCCATCCTGCTGTCTGTTTTGCTCAGTTAGTCTTTTGAGACTGACTGAGAGAGAGACAGTTATCTGTAGATATTTACTTTCATTGCTGATGTCAAGGTGGAGAAATAAAGATTACCAGTGCTTAAGAAGTTCTCCTGTCCTCAGGTGTACGTCTGGAGACCCCTTCCAAGATCAGTCCTTACATGACATGGCATAGTCTTTTAGTTGTCCAACTGTTCCAGGTTTTATCCATGTACTAAATTTCAAGAAAAAATGTTGAAATTTTCACCTGTCCCACCTATACAAGTGCTCAAGACATTATCCTGTCCTCAGGTGTATGTCTGGAGACCGTCCTACTCCTCCTTCCACCGCTGCTCGTGGAACTTCCGGCACCGAGACCTGCTGGTGACGGACCTGAGTGTGCACAAGTACGGGATCGTGCTGTGTACGCCGCAGGGGGAGGGGTTTACGGGGAGCTTCGTCAGTCTCAAGAAAAAACAGGAGACGATAACCAACAAAGGTTAGCAGAAAGGGCAGAAATGTACAGTTTGTAGTGCTGAAGTAGAATGAATAATCCATCAATAGTTGGTAAGTTACTGCAGAGTGTGGCAAGTCTAGTGGTGCAGTCAGCTTCATCACCCTCAAGAAAAAACAAATCCAAGGGTGAGGATGATGATGAGCAGAAGGGAGGCTGTTACATTTATACTTTCAGTTCATTAACTAGTGTGAAGTAAAAAGCACATGCAGAATGCTTCCCTCCATCTTTTTTCAAACTTGAACATTCACAACGTCTGTACTTTCTTAAGGGAATATGTACTTAATCTATCCCCAAACCAAATTCTATAGCAATTGGACTTTGAATGAAGACATGCTGACACCAATTGTCCTGTATGTTGCTGTCAGCTTTCTTGTCTAAAGAATACTTTCATTGTATCATATCCTAATATTCTCCCAGTGCAAATTATGTTTTACATGTATCTATTTTCACACACTTAGTCTTGATTTATTTGTGTCCAAAGATGACACTAGTCATGCCCCAGACTAACACAAGAACCTGTTTCAGGTGTTGAAGGCAAAGACAAGACCTTGTCCACGTTTGACACCTTCTCGCTGTCTGCGGTTGTGGAGAAGTTTGAGAAGGAGGAGAAAGCCGCCGTGCAGCTGGAGAGGATCCCGTTTATCCACCGCGCCACGGGGGTCACCTCCGACCCCAAGGGGAGGAACTTTGTTGCTCTGCAGGTGGACCCAAAGGCAAGGTAAGGGGAGAAGTCAGTAACTGTGCAGGGGTGGTGTGTTTCAGTTCCCCAATGATTTTAGCTGCAATGCTAAATTTGTAGTAGAAATTTTATACCTGTAAAACATGAAATAGCTTTCCTAGAGTCACAAATGATTAGAAGGCCCTTAATACTCTTCAAACAAGTTTTAATCATCATTTTATCTAGTCATTGAATGTCTTGATAACTGTTAACTGATGCAAGAAATCAGGCTTTTAGCTAGGATTTTTTTGTTGGGCGTCCATTTTTTGCATTGTATGCTATGCTCAGCAAAGATGCACGGTGCACAAGCTTTTTAGGGGGCCTTTTTTGAAAGTCAAAATGCTCTCAAACACTACTTTTTGCATTTTGAGTTACAAATTTTGAGGAATTTGAGTTTTTTTCCTTCAGTAAACCATCATTTTTGTATTTATAGTAAGGCTGAAGGGAGGCATGTGTGCAAGGCAGGGTTGGGAGTGGAAAAAAAACAGGGCGTCTTTAGGGTGTCCTACCAAAAAGTAGGGCGTCCAATTTCTTAGTATTTTCAGTACAGGGCGTCCAAAAGACACCCTGGACACCCCCTAGCTAAAAGCCTGCAAGAAATTTAGATCTGTAACTCTACATGACTAGCGTGTGAATGTTGTATTTCCCCTGCATGCAGCCTACTTGAGGTTCCGACCATCAGTCCTTCAGACATGGGGAAAACCTTCAGGACACTCCTGGACGAGGCCAGTTGCCATGACAACATCCATGATGTCATCATACAGGTGGGTACAACATCCAAGATTCATGTTACAGATTTCTTCAAATACAACCAAAATTTTTGTCTTTAAATTAGTACAAAATTTAGAACCTCAAATGCATGATTTTCAAATAAATTAGATGGAGTAACTTAGATTTGATTTATTTCCCCTCCCAGCTCCATGGCCAGTCCATCCCAGCCCACAAATTCATCCTGTCGTCTCGTAGCGACTACTTCCGCAAACTTTTCCACTCTGACAACACGGAGAGTTCCGACTCCAACCATCCCGACGTCCTCAAGGTCAGCCAGGAGGTCGTCAAGGTCGAGAAGGTCAACCATCACATCTTCCTCAACCTCCTCCAGTTCATCTACTCTGACACCTGTGACCTGCTGACCCCGGGGTACAGGCCAAAGTTCAAGATCAAGGTTGAAGGGTCAGAGGGCAAAGGTGGCGGGGACTCGGGGATGTTGAATGGCGGGGTGAAGAATGGAGAGTTCGGGGAGTTTTCCCTGGATGACCTTGCTCACCAGTCTGCCTTCAGTGTGTACTCACAAGGGAAGAAATCTCAGAAACATAAGAAGGAAACCAAGTCTAAGGAATCCAAGTCTAACCAGCAGACTGAAGACGACTCGTCAAACCCTGTCAAGGTTCTACAGAACACGGCCAAGAGGTTCGGTGTTCAGAATCTGGTGAAGAGGTGAGTTGTGATTGTCCTGGCTTCAGGAATGTATGAGCTACAGTTATGATTATGGATTTGTGAAAACGTGGCAATTTTTTTTTAAATGGACAATTTACACCGCCCAAAGTCCCTCTACAGCAACAGCTTTCCATGGACTGTGAAGCTCTGATTTTGAAGATTCTGAAAACACTCTCATTGATAAGTGTTTCCCTTTGAAGTACAACCCACAAGTTGTCAAAAATGCCATCTCCTAGCATAGTCATGTATCTACCCACCAACTTAGTTCAGTGTCTGGAAATGTTCATTGGGCCTTCCATTGAGCAAACTCATCGAAAAAAAATGTTGTTTTGTACCACCAGGCTAGAAGGGGTAAGGCTGGTAGGTTCCAAAGTGGAGATAACAGAGAAGAAGCAGACACAGCGATTCCGGTTCAGCCGGTCCAAAAGCCCTCACCTGTACGACCTGGCCATCCGGTGTGTGGACGGGGAGGTGGTGCCGTGTCACAAGTGTGTTCTGGTGGCACAACTGGAGTACTTCCGCAGCATGCTGGGGTCTGGCTGGATGGAGGTGGGTGTTCTCATGTATATTACATGTGTAATGTTATAGTTAAGAGTTTGTTATGAGTGTCCAGTGTGTGTAGATGGGGAGGTGGTGCCATGTCACAAGTGTGTCCTGGTGGCCCAGCTGGAGTACTTCCACAGTATGCTGGGGTCTGGCTGGATGGAGGTGGGTTTTATATCTGTTTCCGTATAGCTGGTATAACCGCCCTTCAGCATAACACTCCAGCTTCTGTATCTATATAGCCGGTATAACCGCCCTTTGGCGTAACATACCAGCTTCTGTATCTGTATAGCTGATATAGCCGCCCTTCAGCGTAACACACCAGCTTCCGTATCTGTATAGCCGGTATAACCGCCCTTCGGCGTAACACACCAGCTTCTGTATCTGTTTGTCCTGAACCATGTGTTAGAGTTTCTGTGTAACACACTAACTAACCAACAAACCCTGCCGTTCCAGACATCAGCAGACACCCCCCTGGAGTTACCCATCCCGGCAGACGTCCTGGCCCATGTGTTAGAGTTCCTGTACACCGATGACTGCCGGCCTGTGAGAGAGGCACAGAACATGGAGCTCCTGTGTAACGTCCTGACCACAGCTGATCGACTCCTCATCACTCAGCTCAAGGAGATGGCTGAAGTCTCACTCGTCAACCTCAGTAAGTAACTGTGCTGTTTTATAGTACTGTAGATACGAAATTAGCCTTTTGGCTAAAGGGTAAAGAACTAAAGAGAAAGAGAAAGAAATGTCCGCAGTGTTTTTTTTTTTCTTACTTTTGAATTACAGCTTCTCTTCAAACTGTATATTACATGGTTGGCCCCCTACTTTCTTGAGTTTAAGGATTTTGTTCCCATTTCTTTCCAGCTACGTAAAGAAATGTTGCAGAGCTGTTAAAGAGTTTGCGTTCTCTGTGTTCACCTCCCAGCATCTAAAGGCTTTGTTTTCAAACTACAAGCTTGCCTGCTTGTTTGTTTTTAACTTCCTGAAGTAATATTTGTGTCCATTCCTCCCCAGTCACCCTGAGGAACGTTGCAGAGTTGTTGGAGTTTGCCTCCGTGTTTAACTCTGCGCAGCTGAAGGCAGCCTGTACACAGTTCATCTGTCTCAACATGGCACCGCTGCTGGAGGCAAGGTCAGGGCATAGGGCAAGGGTCAGGGCATAGGGCAAGGGTCAGGGCATAGGGCAAGGGTCAGCTCATAGGACAAGGGTCGTAGTTGATTTTAATCATACCAACCTTGGACAGATTGGAACATTTCAAGAGCGATGTGTATCTTGGTTTTTTTTTACACTTTTTACCTTTTTATTTTCAAAGACTATGGTATCATATTTTATGTAAAAAGTATCATTAGCATCTAGACAGACACTTGACTTTCAATTGTCCAAAATTACAATATTTTTTGTATCTTGAAATTTCACTTACACCCAGTCAAAATCTGGTTACCGGTAAGTGCAATGTATTTGTGATTGTTGCTTACAGATGTCTGGAGGTGTTGAGTGAGGATGTCCTGGATGACCTTGGCGCAGCGTACCGTGCCTCCGTCCCGGCCATGTGTCGCAGGGTCATCACTCCTTATATGGACGGGCCTGACCTCAGCTCCATAGCAACAGAGCAGGACAGTCTGGAGGAGGAGGAGTTCAGCATGGAGATGACTGGGTCCTTCACTGAGGAACCCTTCATCAGGTACAGAGTAGGGCAGGGAGAGGGCTAGTGTTACTGGTACTAATATTATATGATACTGCTGTGGGGGTCCCTGTTGGCAGCAGTCAGCTTGTCTTCACACCACATTTCCAGGTGATTCTGTCCAGCAGGTCGATCCATGCTGCACACTTTAATGAAATCCATTGTTTCTTTTTGTTCCATTTAACAGATGCACAGAAAAAATTAATGGATGATGAGTTAATGTACAATGAATTTTGTTTCTGTCATTTAGCAAGGTTTTTCATAGATGACTTGTTCTTGTTAGTTCTTCGTATATTGCTTTTCTAGATACAACTACCCTGCAGATTCTTCCCTTTCATGTGTACAGCATATATACCATTGACTGTACTGACTCCTGCTGTGGAGTGTTTATTCTCCTGTGTATATCTTTGACTGTCCTGAATGTTGCTGTTCCTGTCCAGTGTTGAGGACAGCGGGTTTTCCCAGCGCAGACACAGGGACAGTACAGGCAGCCTGCATGAGCCGGTCAGTGGGTCTCCCAGCCAGGCATGGAAGAAGGCAAAGGTATGGTGTTTCTCATACCTTTTGTATGCCCACCAGTAGTTTGGACACTACTACAAAGAATTTTTTCAAATAATAAATGTGCTGCATTGTCAGAGGTTTGCACTCATGATACAATATTATAATCAATCAATCAATCAATTAATCAATCCATCAATCATTTGCAGGCTTTAATATATAATATTATGATACACAATATTATAATATATATTTTATGAATTTTTTTTTCAGGCTAAACCCAAGAAACGCACACGTAAGAGAACAGACAGCACCAAAGGCCTGAACCTGTCTGACCTGTTGCCTGGTTACGTCCCGGTCAAAGGTGACCAGCAGGACGTTGACCTGCTCAGCAGGAGCTTTGAGGAGGTCAGAGTTCATGACCTGTCTGCAGGAGAGGATGATGGGAGAAGCTCACATGGGGATCCAGAGAAAGAGGTAGTTACCATGAAAGCAAACATCCTATGATTTTGGAAATTGTAATAGGGTCTAGGAAAAAAAATGATGTGTTTCCTGTTTCAGTCCTGAAAAAATTAAGGTTGGTAGGGATTTCTTTTTTTTTTTTTTAGACTTCAGCGATATCTTTATAACTTATAGTAAACAATTTAACAAAGTAAAACTTGCATGAGGACACTTTTATTTTCAATGTTAATGTTAGAAAACCAATCGTGCAACATTTTATCACTCAGGTGTCAGATCATGGAGCTAGAAAAGGTTGATCAGCTCGAAAAAAGTCTAGGGTCAGCAGTTTTTTCTAGGGTCAGTCAGAAAATAAGAAAAGCAACATTTTTTTCCTAGGCCTAGTCAGAGTTTCATTTTAGGTTTTACCCCACAGAACCTGGCTCCTCCCGAGAGTGATGCCTCCTCACACCACGAGACCTCCAGCCAGGATGGATCCATCCCAGAATGCACCTCTCCCCCACCCACAATGCAACCTGGTGCAGTGCCAAAGAAGGGACCATGGACCTGGGCAGGGTAGGGCCAAAAATAAATTTCCTGAAAATTAATTTCAATATTGCCCTTTTCTTTCTTCCTCGTAACTTTTTAAGCTTTTCAGAAGTCTAAGGCCACTAGCATATCAAGCTGTTTAACTGAATGTTGTCACTCTCTTATTGTTCATTTAGTCATGGAGATATTTGACTGGAATTTGCTAGAGATTACAAACTAATTTATAATACATGTAATTGATGTTTTGCTTCGTATACTCTAATAATACTTTGAATGTATTTGCTTGATTGACCAGCAAGTTTTTATCTCCTGTTCAGCCCCAGCAGTCCCCCATCGTCAGCCTTTGACCTGCGGCAGATCATGGCAGCCGAGCAGACCGCAGCCTACAGGAAGGTACCAAACCTGCAGCTGCAGAAAACTGCCGCAGAACAGAGAACAGCTGCAGCACAGAAAACAGCCGCAGCACTCAGACCTGCTGCAGTTTCTCCTAGAACATCACCTGCTACAAAGCCAACAAGGTACAGAAGTTAAAACTGGTCTGATGAGGTCTGAGCAGTTTGAGTGTAGCATAAAAGCACTGTTTTTCTGAATAATGTAATGGTAATAAGAATCCAATCTACTAAGATCCCAATATAAAATCGTTACACTTACAGTCTTTAAGTTCAGTTTACTGTACTTGCTACAAAGATGGTGCAAATTTCCATTTATTCATTTATTTCAAAACTTTTAGCCCTACTCTGAATCTGTATAAACTATACTAAACTAGGTAGAGACAAGGTTCCAATTTTTACTTGTACATTTTTAGTGTCACGTCTCCGTCACCTCAAGGACTGGTCATCACCACTAAGATGTCTCAGAAGGAGCGGAAGAGACAGCTGAAGTTCCAGGAAGATTCCAGCGCACAGGAGCAAGCCGCACATGCCCAAGCTAAAGGAAAACCAGCGTCCAACCCATGGTGAGTTCACTGCTGTGCTAGTGATGTATTGTTCAGCTGGTTAACTGAGTTATATGTAGTTCAATGTTCAATACATTTGTACATGAGCAAGAATGTCGAAACTGAAAGTTTGTCTGCAGTACCTAGGGAAGCTGCCAGGGGGAACAAAATCTAATCATTTCCAGTGTTTGTCACACTCTACCAACACACCAAATATAAAACAAATCCATCCAGCCATTTTTGAGTTACATGTATCTTGAGGAAACAAGGACACAGAAACATACACTGCTGAAAATATAGCCTCCATCTTTCTTTGAGGTATCAATCTAAAGCCTTAAAGGACTAAAGTGGCCACAAAATTTTGACTGTATTTTTCGTTTTCTTGTCCCCAGGGGCCTGACCCCCAGCCCTGCTGCCCCTGCTCTGTCCTTCAGACAGGTCCTACAGGAGGAGGAGGGCGGAGGCAGGGAGGCTGTCTCCATGGCAACTGTCACCATGGCAACATCTCCACCATCACACAGTCGCGAGAAGACAATCAGGTAGGTGCTACACATGTCAAGCTTGTCTTTTTACATAAAATACAAGTTTATAAACTGAAAGGGTGGGCAATATGAAAACAGTGTTGCTCTTTCATCAGCTTCATAATAAAGCAGATGAACTGCAAGTTTTTGAATTTTTTTGCTTTCTATCCTTTTGCAGTTGGGGCTTACCAGTGCATGGAGCAAAGCACCATGGGAGCAGACAGGAGAAGCAGGGAGATTCCCCACAATCCCCCAGGTCACCCCAGAGCCCAACAGAACAAGCCAAGTAGGTTTTTTCTATTATTACTATCAGTAGTGAAACAGAAATCGTATCAGTTTTTGTTGAATACATGTGTCCATACAAGGTCCTTTACATATCAATGACTGTACAAGTCTTTGTCATCTTCAACTGTTTTTTCCAGCTGCTCATATACATGTATTATGTGTTGACTAGTTCTGTTAGTTTATTTTAGTGACGCTAAAGAAGAGAACTAGTGGTGGATCTCACTCAGAAGTCAGAATGTCTGTAATTTATCCAGTTTGAATTTTCTATGTTATGTGTCACAAAAATGCAAATTAGATCACGAGTATGCAAATGTTCTTCCCCCCCAGCCCGTGGCAGAGGAAGGTCCCGTCCAGCCCGCCGGCTCAGTCCACCGTTCAGCTGTCTGCGATCATCGAGTCTGAGAAGGAGCAGAGAGAAAACCTGGTCAAGGCAGCCAACAAACCTCTGGCACTCATTCAGGTGAGAATTTTTGCCCAGTTTCATGTTGTGGAATCTCTATTAACATTTATCTGCCAGGTTATGTTGCAAAAATAGATGAATACATAACAGTTGTTTTGCTATTACTAGAAACGTTTCTGAACCCAATGTTTAGCCCCACCTGATTATACATGTGTAACAAGATATAATTACAGATTTCGTGGTTACCCCTTTCTGTCAAGCCAGTAGAATTTTCAGCTGTATTATGTACATGTATTTCTGTTTTATAGTTGACCGTATGAAAGCGCTTTTTACCTTTTGAGGGTCAATAAAACTGCTCTCTATATCTAATCTATAAGCCTTGTTACCAAACCTATTTTAGCTCCCGAGTCTTACATCCTAGTAGTATTTGCAGAGAGCATATAGGACTCTGTAGCTAAAATAAGTTTGGCAACCAGCCTGCTACCTGCCACTTTAAAAATGTGATCTAACAACAGAAAGTGAACATGTTGTGTGTGGAATGACTGTTTTTTCATGTTTGTAGATCGAGGAGCGAGCCATACAGGAGCTGCTGGAGCACTACTCTGCCACAGGTCACCCCGAGGAGTTCATCACCGTGGCCAGGGAGGTCAAGGTCACCGCGACCCCTGTGTGGAGGGCTTAGCAGGTCAAAGGTCACACAACCCAGCGAAGAGACTTTGGTCAAAGGTCACACAAATGCTCTATGGAGAACTTTAGACTAATAGGTTTTCAACAAAAACAGTTTAACATCGTCACTCTAGATCTACCCTTCGTCTTCACCACTGTAGAAATCCTGTTAAAAGCTCAACATCTCTTGTGTGGAAAGGGTTGGATGTTATGATCAGTGTTAAAAGAATGAATGATCGAATTGTTGTGTCTTGCCACTACATCTAAGTTGCTCAGCCCATATTATACTAGTAAGACATCGTGATCATAACTTACTATGTGTGGGTTTTGCTACACATCCTGAGGTATTATAAAGTGTACAAGCTACAAGTCTCATCAGTGCACACCTACATGTATCATCACACTAGTGCTACAAACATGTCAAGTATCTGAAGGCTCTACTAGTATAGGCTATACTTGGATATTATGAACCATGGTAGGACTTAGTGGCTCAGATGCATGTTTGTCAAGTAACTTGGACTGATTGTTCATTAAAGATATCATACTGGCAAAGGATATGGACATAGTTATTGCATTTTTATGTGTTGTGTAATTCTCACTGCATATCCCAATATTGGACTATGATTGTACTTACTATGAACTTATTGATGAATCAAACCAAGTTACAGGTCCATAATTATTTGAAGAGTCATGAATATTAACACTTTATTTGATGCAATTAAAACCTTACTCATGACCCAAGCATGAAGTGGTGCAATTCTCATGTATTCTCTTTATATACCAGTATATAATTCCATCATTACAAAATCCAGAATTGTTGTGTTATGACAAATTTGCGTGTATGGTTGTCAAGACTGCATTTTGTCTATTAATTTCTGACTTCTCATTTCTCAGGTTATTTTTTCCCATTTTATTCTGATGCCATAATGACTGACATTGTACGTCTTTAGTTCTTTTCTTAGAGTATATGTAAATATGTTGCATGTTTCTTATTTATGTAACATGCATTTTGTAAAAATAAGAATGAAAGTGAAAATTGTGTGTATGGTGATGATGATGATGATGTGTGTATGGGTACATTGACAGCCAGCATTTATCAATTTGTGGCATGCACAAGAATGTTCAATTTCAGGAACTGGATTTATTGAGCTTGTACTTGTGATAAAGTTTTTTGATGCCGCTTTCTTGGCCAGTTTGACTTCCAAACAGTATGTATTGTTGACAGAATGCAATGTGCAAGTAATCAAATAAGGCTGTCAGGACAAAAATGTTCTCTTAAGAGAGCAACTTGTACAGAAAGAAAGAAGTGTGATATTCTCATCCTACTGAAATGCTCAAAATCTTGAAATTAAAGGAAACTTGATTCTTTGATTATTACCTGGAGTTTTGTTTGTACTGTGTGACTTGTTTCCTACTGAGAACATTTTAGAGACCTCATCCCCTACACAAAGTAACACACACAAGCCAAAAATAATACTTCACCACCTTGTGAGATGGAGTAAATATTCAATACTGCATGGTTTTACCTAATAGTGCTGTGTTTTCCTAGCCTCTACCAGGCACCACAGATCGCTGGAAATGGGTCGCGAATTGGATCTTCTCTGGTATACTATCCCTTTATTTCGGCCAATTTCTATTATTTTCCAGCTATCCACGGTGCCTGGTAGAGGCTAGTGTTTTTCCTGAATAAAGCTTTCTGATACACAACAAAAACACATGCAAAACACATCATTAAACATTTTTGTCTGTTTATTGGTAATTCTCCCAAGCTTATTCCAGGCTAGTTAAAGTTGACAGGCAGGATGACCACAGCCTTTTCATGTGTAGGTAAAACGGTGTACAGTACAAATCCTGTCCATACCTTCCCTCACGAAGGCCCATTGCAATGCCTGCAATAAGCAAGTTCCCCCTAGATACAAAATGTAACAAACTCTTTAACATCATGCTAGTTCTCGCAAGTATCAACAACATTGCCAAAAAATCATCAACCTGCTTCTTCGCCTACAAACCCTGTTTCACCAATTCTGGGACTACTGATCTATTATCCTAGCAGCAGTACACCCCCCTGCGACACAATGGTATTGCTTTATCTTCTGTGGAAAATTCCTCCCATATGGAAGAGCCCACAGTGCAGACGGGGGTGTTCACTACGCTGCATACCTAATGAGGAAAAGTCCCCAACAGTGAACTACATCAACTACTATCATAGTAAACAAGGAAATAACAATGGACTATTTACAATATGCAGAAAGTATTGACCATACAAAACAGGTCCAAAGTTACTAGTACAGTTTTAATCTTAACACCTGTAAGGCTTGACTTTATGTGCATTAGATGTCTTCTTAACCACTACAGTAGTCCAAGTACTAAACAGGGCTGTTATCATATAAACTTGATCTTTCAGTTCCTCAGATTTTCTGTTGTGCCTCAGAACAAAAAAACGGCACACTTTTATTTTAATAGCAGCAGTTTTTATTATTCTTCAGCACACTATCGGCAGTTGACGATGTGTTTTTGACTTGGGAATTGTTTTCATTATTTCCACAAAAATCAAGAGACATGCAGATTATTAATACACTGTCTTGTTGGGGTATATGGACTGTATGCCAATAGGAAGATTTCTAAAACTCTAGTATGCCATTTTTTCTGCAGATAAGGCCACACCAATTTAATTTGTTGGTTCTCGGATTTTTTCAGAAAAAATATGAAGCGACAGGGCGAAAAAAATAAAAATAAAAACAGGTCTAGGCATCCTATTATAGGCTTAAATGCTACAAACTGAGCCATGAAGTCAACACAAAAGGCTGGTTTAAAATTTAAACATTGAATTTTGAACTTTTAATCAAACCACTGCAATGATAGATGGGAAAACTGTAACAAGTAGGAAGAAAAGGACTATCCTCAACTGTTGGGGGGCAAAACAGGAGCATTTTTCAGTTGATTCAGGACCAGAATCAAATTTTTTTTTTTGCAAATCAGAAAAAAACGAAGAGGTGAATCCGAGAACCAACAAATTAAATTGGTGTGGCCTAAGAACATCTGGAATGGTAAACAAGAGAATCCTACACAGGTCAAAAAATAACAAATCATAAAACAACATCAATCAAGTATAGCAGGTAAAATAACAATGCTGCTCAACATTGGCAAAATACATCATTAAATCCCTACAATGGTGACACCATAACATTTGTACAACTGTACACGATAATAAGCCAGGTTTCTATTCAACCATTACATGTCTACATAATGTCTGCACAATAAAAGAATGTAGCAAACAAAAGAATGTCACATTCAGCTGGTCACATTGTTCTGTAGCAATATAGAAAATGTTACTGGATAAGGCTGAGACATTTCCGTACTTAGATACAATTGAAGATTGACACAATTGGCCAGGAATCTTTAATGTGAATAAGACTATACACTGTATCACATAGAGAATGTAAGGTGGTAACACTGTTCACTGGATATGTAAAAAGATCATGAAAATCTCTGGTAAACTTCTGAAGCCGAACATCTTTACAACTTTTTATGTGTCATGAGAGACAAACAAGGAAAATAATACAGAAAAGAAATGTTATTTCGAAATGATGTTTTCAGATTCTATGGAACATCCAGTAACTGGTAGAAATGCAAGACTTCCAACAAAGCACCACTGAACTGGACAGAACAGACCTTTTGAGACTCAAATGGCCTAGTGTTTTATAAGTCAGCTCTGTTACAAGTGGAAAATCCTTAGCCAGTTCTAGGGATTTATTTCAGTGTCCACAGTTTCAGTGTGAGTCCTGGCTGTTCCCAGTACTGGTGTAAGTTAGCTGCTGTGGTGGTACAGGGTTGTTGTTGATGTTAAACTGGAGAAATAGCTGGCTGGTTGTGACTGCTACATGGTTGGTTGACTGGTTGTATTGGGTGCTGCTGGGCTTATGATACATCTGTAAAACAAAAGGTACAAGGTTAGGCTGATGTGGCAAAACAAGATATTAGTCAAGACTGTCAAATATTCACCAGTGTAAGTCCCCAAGTCAAGTCAAATATTTCCCAGTGTAAAATTTCTTGCTAGATAAAATGTGGTAGCATATACCCTACCAGGACCATATACTGTTACCTGAATATCACTAGAAGCAGAAAGTCTTATATTCTGGTAAAAACCTATAACTGTTAGCCCCTGAATAATTAGAGTCACTGAGACAATGAGCATGCCTATCAAGCTATGCTTACTACCAATATCAGTGAAGATATACAACAGACTGAATCCATAAATGAAAACTTACAGCTGGCGGCTGTCTCGCCAAATCGCCTCTGCAAATAGTCTTGGTTGAACCTGATGAAGGCATCATATTGCTCTGCAACAACACAAGATGCCATGGGTTAGAATAGGAGTCAAAATATACTGTTTCAGCTACTCTATAAACCAAAGTACAATCGAAGGCTGCACAGTTCTGGCTTAGTAGTAAAGGTTTCCAACATTTCAATTTCTAAATCAGTATTGATACTGTTCTTGCCAGCTTATGATCTCTCATTCACCATTTAAGTAGCCTGTATTTACATCTAGACTATATTCACAAGTCACATATGATATTCATAACACTCGCTAGAGTGCCATAGACTTGTACCCTTCCGATCCCTCTTTCCATTCCTTACCAAATCTGTGCCCCAGTACCGGGTATTATACATAAAGGCTGACTCTGTATTTCATGTATCAATATTGATAGCACAGCAGTAGGGGCACATCCTGCATTATTTAAAGCCACCAGGAAATGACTTGCCTGGAACTACCCACAGGAGATTTATAATACAGCGTAGGACGATAAAACCTTTCAACCCAGAGCTGTGCAGGGCCTAATGATGATGTGCTTTGATGGGTCGGCTTTTAGACAATTGCAGTCTGTTCATTACACAACAAGACTAGGAAGGTCGAAGGTGTTCACAGTGGCAACAAAAAAGTCTTCTTCCTCTTCCTTTGATTTTAACACATTCTCATAAAATTTCATTTTGGGTAGAATGAAATGCTTGTGAGAATAAGTTAAAATGTAAGAAAGAGAAGGGAGATGTGTTTAGACTAGCAATGGCATGTCATAGCTAGGACCATGCAAACTCTCATGAGACTTGTATAAAGAACTGGTGTGTTATGTGAGGTAGCTGTTTTCTACCTATGCAAAACAAACATTTAGAAGGCCTATTTAACTGTGGCTGCCAACAAAAGAATTGGTCATAACCAAATTTCTCACTGTTCAACACGTCCTCTGTCAAAGAACCTTGTGCAGTAACTTAGAATGTGTCAATTCTTAGCATTCACAGTTTAAGATTAGCCTCCACCAGGCCTTTCTACGGGAATATGGATCGTAGCATTTGGCAAAAAGGAGAGTGAAATTGGCCAGGGGAGTCAGGCCACGGAAGGTTGTTTCTTTCCCTAACTGCGGGGCCAGTCAAACCCCAAGGCGGCCAAACTATCCTGGCAAATGTTCTCCTATATGTATAGCCAGCGTAGTTTAAGATCCTTCTTCATAAATTCTCGAGTAAAATAAACCAGCAGAAGCGTGACTCACCTGCTAGCTTGCAGGACAGCACCTTGTCGTACTCCTCTCGCACCTGGGTGTCGCGTTCCTTGATCATCCGCTCGCAGATCATGCTCACCTGCCGCATCGAGAACAGCGGCTTGTCCTTGTTGATCGGCGACTGCGTCCCGGGAATCGGCGACGAACTCCCGTGGGTCGGCGAAAGTGTACCATAATGCATCGGCGACGCCCCATAATGCATTGGAGAGGAGCCGCCGGCCATGTGGGAGCTTTCGTGCATGGGTGAGAGGGAGCCGTGATGGCTGGGGGACAGGGAGGTCCCAGCCGGCTGTTGCACGTTTGAGTCTGTTGCTACCCACAGGCGGCGCCTACGGTGCATGCGGCGGTACTCGTCCCGGATGAACTGGGAAATTTGTTCTGGAGGGAAAAGGAGAAAATAGTGACACTTTTAGCATGAAAGTTCATCTGTGTTGGCATATGTCTTCATTATGACAAAACGGGGCTAAACGTTCAGACCAACACTGAGTAATTTGGGACTTACCCAAATGACTTGTTCACGGAATGGGCCAGTCTAAAGGGTCAACCGAAAAATTTTGGTAAGTCCCAATTTACTCAGTGCTGCCCCTTTTATCATAATAGTCACACATTTAGTTATTGGCGATACAGCTTTGCTGTGATACATGCAATACAAAGAAACATCTCACACAAAATGCATGGCATTCAACAACTCTTTTCCAGTGAAAGTAGTATCTTTAGAAAAAGAACACCTTTTATTTGCACTAAGCACTACTGCATTTGAATAACACGCCATGCTTGGGCATTTGTTCACCTTTTCCTACATACAAAAACATTCCACAATGGCACAAGGCTAGGACTACTCCACAATTACATTGTCAAGAGACAGAAGTCTTTGGCACAAGCAAAAATGCTGTGGACAAATTCCATGGCTGACAAGGACACTTTGCCGGTCATGTGAATACAGTGGGGCCAGCAAGGGGTTTGACTTCAAAGCACTCAAGCACCAGGATAATCAAATAAGTACGGTCACAGGGGACGAACTTTAGTCCCTTGTCATCATACTATTACATTACACTCAGAAATGGACTATGCAACTGGAAATATTAATAGTGGACACCTTGCTTCGATTTTCCTAGCAAAAGAGGACGAGAAGGAAGCAGCGGTGGCATGAAAATAGGGTGTACCGGTAAATATTTTTCATTGCGAGACACCTTTTTGTCAGATATCCTTAACCACCTTGGTAATGCGATCGACCAAAGATGGAACGACAAACCAGGAAGGGCCCCTGGCTATGCAGCAGACACATTTAACATCTGCTACCAGCCTTGCTGTCTTTATTACTCCATCCTACATTAGTTCTACCTCACTGAGATTGCTGAATAGTCAGACTCAAGAGATTTATATAGTCAGGTTACGTTTCATATGTAACATCAGACAGAAACATGGATTTGCCGGGAGTACATCAGAGGTCGTTTTCTGCAGACAATTATTTTCACAATTGCCAAATCGCCCTGCCTTTCACATTCTACATAAAGCATGAATTGCTCGAGGATACTGGCTAGAAAATGGTGATAGATCTCAAGCTTTCATTGATGTCTAGGCTTCAACTTCAGCTTATTTTTGATGTGTTGTCAGTCATTTTTATGGTGCTTTCTTTTTTGTTCTGTTTTTTTTTTATACCAGCCAAATCATTTAATGGGTGGCAAATGGATACTGTTCTGCTAAAGTTATATCTTCTTTGCCAATTTGATATGATACCGTCTTGCAACCACCAAGAGATCTGATTGGAGATTAAAGGTTTCAAACATACTGATTAACAGAAAAAGTACACAAATCCCTGTGACTGACAAACTACCCAACGAGGTTTGGAGGAAGGGTGTGAGATTTGCTCCACCTTGATCGATGCCACACCACAGGCACTCCAATCTGCATAACAATCCCTAATGATAGATCGGTCTGCAATCCCTTTGACAGGCTGGACAGATAAGAAATTGGCAAGGAAATCACCAAGCAAGTTAAATTCCGGGCTGCAGTTATCTGATAATTTGGGTGTGTAGGGATGTCCTTAGGGTAGCTTTTTTATGTAGATGTAATATGCATGTGTCAGCCATTTTGTTTTAAATGGCACTCCAACACAGCTGTTGCTATATTTGTGGACAGGACACATAGCCCAGAAAATGGTCTAGATTTGGTATTACAGTCTGTGTGAAACATGTGAATCTGATTTAGAAACATGTGGCATGGCATCCACATGACACGGAGTCTGTTTCTTTTGACTCTTGAGACGAAATAAATGTGGGCCATGTTTGCATTGCGTATCTAGAAAACCTAACCCTCCCAGGACCCTACATGTACCAGGCTTCTCCTATCACCTCTACGGTAATTTATGCAAAAGGTGGCTGACTTTGCAGGGTAGAGAGAGAGATAGCACACCCGCAGATGGAATATGCATGAGGTGTAACAACCGACATCCTGCTCTTTGCTGATACGCAAGATAAACAATGACTTTAAAGCGACAGCATTACATGGGCAGGGACGATTCCTAGTATGACTCACTCCTAGGTTTGTTGTGCGTGTAGCTCTTTTTTTCTATGTCAGCTCTCACTCAGCATTTTTTTTAGCAGCAGGACTGCCTAGACAGAATGCTGTCAGAGTTAAGCGCTGAGGAAAGAATTAACTTTACGTTTGAATCTTTGTCTGTCCATGTTCCAAAGTTTCAGTGTACAATACTGTACATTATTGTATGTGGAGGATTTATAGCGATGTTGGACCGCACTGACCTTGGAACGGGTCCAGGACCCTGCCCCAATTCCAGTTTTACTGTCACATGCTTGTTATCTATGGCGGTATTGGCGGATACTCTTTTTTTATGGCTAGAGGTGCAGAGGTAGTGGGGCACAATTATCGGAATCCCTAGTGTTTGGGGTATTACATGGATTTTGAACAATAGTCTTTACACATTTATTTATGTTGACAAAACTACACCACACCAACCCCTGGTGCCCCAACTGTACAAACTGAATTTCATCCATACTTTCATTAGTTGTCCATTGACTTAAATAAAAGTTTATAGCCAATACAGGGGACTAAGGATCACTTTACCACAGCTCTCAACCAACCCAAAGTGATTGGCAGGACAGATGAAAACAACCGGCTAGCTATCCCAAACTGCGCCTATCAGGGGAATAATATTTATGGAGATTATGCTAAATACCAACTGCTTTGATTCCTGAAGAGTCATGGTTATTCAGAGCGCGGAGGTGAGTAAATATATGCATGTCGTCGCTTGTTCCACCCGAGACAAATTGGTGAGAAATGGCCGTACAGATGAGTTCCTTTGTGTTCGGGCCGGGCTGGGAAGAAAGGTCAACACTTCAAACTTCACACCCCCCATGGAACCCCTGGCCGGTGTCACAAAAACCCTTACCGGTCACTCTTCACAGCTGTCCATACCCACGCCAACCAAAAAGACTACATACACCAAAAACCACTACTTTAGGATAAGTAGGATAAGTCAGACGGTAGAATAGACAGTCGTTTGTGGATGGTTCTAGAAATGTACCGATCGAACCGGCTAACTGGGTAGTACTAGCTGTAGTCTGCTGAAAAGATGAAACAACGCCATGTTTTTACTTTACCTGAGGTCAGTTTGGGCTCGACTTCGGGAAAGGATGACGGCTTCTGCCGAGGTGGTGTGGCCAGACCGGAGCTGTGAGGGGAAACGTTAGGGTTGTGTCCGCCCATGGGCATACACCGCCTGGGTCTCTTAGACGGGCGGCTATGCAAGGGGTCCAACTCGTAAGTCCGTTTCAGAGTAGCACACGCCATTTTGAATCAAATGATCAGTCCGGCCCCGGCGAAGACCCCTCGAGATCGGGGCACGATTTCTCTCACACAAACCGGCCGGCCGCCAGAAATATCCCAACAAACAACTCCGGAAAGATGTTAGCTACGCTCAGATGTGAAAATTTAGCGGCTCTTCGGGTTTTACTAGGAGGATTACACCGATATTAGCCAGAGATCCCGACAGCGGTCCGATCCTCTTTAGTTTGTTTCTCTCTGGTTCGGTTCGAATCAACAAACGGCGCAGAAGCGATGCGCGGTGGCCTCATTACATATGCAAAACTAAATAAGCGGCGCAGAAGCCCTGCGCACTAGTCAGCCGGCTTCGAGTCCGGAAGTTGTCACAACTTTGGGGGATTTAAACTTTATTTATTTTGCTGATTACAACACAGGTATTTAAATTTGTTTGTGATTGTACTTCCCACACTTTCTACTGTTAGGGAAAGTAATACAAATGCATTCTATGATTGTTTAGTGAGTGTAGTGTAGGTATTTGGTCACCACGCGTTACGTTTGGGGGGGGGGGGCAGTACTATGTATGTGGGCCTATCCTGAAGAAATAGAAGATCAACAATTGTTTTATATAATAATACAGTGAATGTACAAAGCTCTATGCAGGTGTAATTTAAAACAATAAGTATGGATCGAAATGTAGACTGTGTACCATCCAAACAACGAAGTTAGGTTTGTCACAGTTGGTGTCCATCGACTTAATTAACAACATCAACTATTAGTGAGTATGCACTCACTCACTCACTCACTGCCGATTACAACACAGGTATTTATGTCCGGTTTATCGTCTGTTGTTCCCCGTCTTCCGAGGGTTAGACGTGCTTGCACAATACATCTGGGGCTTGATGGCAGCACGCCACTTGCCTCTGTCCTGTGGGTCAATTTTATCTAGGTTCAGGTGGTGGAAGTCCTCCCGTACGTTGTCATACCATTTTCTTCTGGGGCGGCCACGGGGGTTTGGACCCTCCACATCCAGTGTGAGGATCCTCTTTGGCCATCTGTCCCTATCCATTCTCTGGAGGTGGCCGTACCATCTGAGTCTGTTGTACCTAACTGTGTCCTGAATGTTATGGACTCCAAGCCGCCTACGAAGCTGTTCAATTGACTGGCAGTCTGCCAGTCTCCTGGAGCAAATCCATCTTACCATGGCCCTGTCGCTCCGTGCCAGTCTCTTCATGTCCTCTGCTGTCACGGGCCATGTCTCCGAAGCGTAGAGTAAGACGCTTCTGACACAGCTTATGCCTTCATGTATACAAAGCGATTTGTGATACATATACTGGTAATGGAAATTGATGAATAACTTTAATGTGTATGTGGTACAGTCTACAGGTGATCTGCCGCTGAACCGCCACCACAATGCCGGGTAAAAGGAAACAGTCTGCCCCGAGGAAGGCAGATGAACAGAAGCGTCAGTGCTTGACGTGGAACATGCAGGACATGTTTGTCAACAACTCAGACACAACTGACACTGGTGAGATAGTCGCTGGTCCAAGCAGTAGTCATGAACCATTACAGGTCAGCATAGAGCACAGACACACCAGCAACCAATCAGATGGCCTCCCAGAGTCTATGAGCCAATCAAATGGCCTTAATGCTGACCAATCACCATCACAGAACATAGAACACAGACACACCAGCAACCAATCAGAAGGTCTCCTTGAGCCTGTGAGCAACATTATTGACCAATCAAATGGCCTACATGCTGACCAATCACCATCACAGGTTTTCATGGAACATGGACAAACCAGTAGCCAATTAGACGGCTTCCCTGAGTCTGTGAGCAACATTGACCAATCAAATGGCCTATATACTGACCAATCGGTGGGAAGTGAAGTTGTCCATGAAGCAAAGTCTGTCCACTTTGATGAGTTCTCTATGGGTGAAATTGACATCGCATCCAGTCCTTCTAATGTTGATTCCTTTGAGGAGAGAATAGGTGACGCAAACGGCAGTGTTTTCACTGACCCCACCATAGGCTATGACTTTTTCCTGACTTTTTATGACTCTGTAGATGATACAAAATGGCACTGCAGCTTGGGGACTATTGTACTCAACCTGTTCTCCATCGATGGTTCAGGAAAGCTGCCCAAAGTCCTACCTCCACAGGCATCTCCTGTTCTGTATGCCTTTGAACACACAGAAAAACACGTCCTCCATTTTGAATCCCTGCCCGACCTTGAAGAGGAAATGGAAGGTCACGGGAATGACGATTCAGAGGAACAGGACCAAGACATATATGTCTATGCCACCACTACTGTTGGAGTCAATATACTGTCTGGTTTAGCCCATATGTACAAGAAGAAAGCAGCACGACTTACACTAGGGAGATACGACCATCTACAAGGAACCTTGGAGCTCCAGCTGTACCTACTTGAAGAGGCGTTGTGCGTGCCACAGTTTGCCAGCGAGGGTCTGACAGGTAAAAGTGTGGCCAGGAAACTCAACAGAACCCTGCAGGAGCTGATGGAATGGTTCCTCGGAATACCAATTCCAGGTAGGCCACTTTCCCCTCTTGTTTTGGTACTAACATGATTTACTAGTTCTGTAGTTCCGTCAGATGGTCACAACTTGGTAGGCTATAGGACATGAACCTGAGAGGTTATGAGTTTGATTCCTGACATCTCTAGCTATATGTTGTCCTTTCCTCACTTCCTTACTTCCTTGACTCTCCTCACTCCACCCAGGTGTAAAATGGGTACCTGACTTCAGTTGGGGAGGTTAAAGGTGGTGGATGGAGAGGGTATGTGCTCCACATTCCAATAGAATACCATACCCCTAGACACAGTGGATCAACAATCCATTGCCCCTATGGCCTCAAAAAGGCTATTGGACTTACATTATGGTTGGTTGGATTTGTTTGCAAATCCTCAATACATGGTATTCATTGTATTCTTTGAATGAAATGAGTTTGTATTGTCTATTATCAAAATCTTCTTCTTTCTATCACAGAAAGCTACAGTGTGATGCACAAGAAGAGACAGGATGTGGAGGGGCTATATCGCCATGTCAGAGAGGCACACCAGGGTGAAGCCAGGTCATTGACCCTTGACCCCCAGCATGCCCTGCTGGTGCCCTCCCTGAGACCGTACCAGAAGGAGGCAGTTCTGTGGATGTTGGAGATGGAACAGTTCGGAGCAGACCTGCAGCAGAAAAGCAGGGGACAAGGTAACAAGAGATTGAGCTTGAAAGCCCACCTGTATCCAAACCTGTTATAGTTGCTGAATCTCTGTTTGTACTAATTGTAGAGAGGAAGGAAGAGACCCATCCCAGCAGCTATAGTAGGTTTGAATAGTACCAGGTTACATTATAGCAGGGTTCTGCCAAGTGCTAGTGTGTAGGGTTCTATTATTAAACTTTGTTCCGTAGAGCCCATCTCTGTTTCTTTGAGTCATATTTTAGGGTTGATCTTTGGAGAAGAACCTGACAGGTATGCTTTGCTTTGCTTTATGGTAAATAAAAGAGAAAAGCAGACATGTACTGTATCAAGCTAACACTAATAAATGTGCACATCAGAGTTTCAAACACAGTTTTCTTTGCTTCCTTCAGCTGCTGAGCTTCACTTACTGTGGAGGGAGGTTGAAATGCCAGATGGCCAGACTTTATTCTTCAACAGCTACACAGGGAGGTAAGATCACATTATTCTTCATACCAAGTACAGACACCCCTCTAGACTGAGAATGTCTTACTTACTTGGGCCCTTGTTCCATGTGGAGCATAGGCCACTGATGATCTTTCTCCAGCCAACTCGGCTCTGGGCTTCCCTCTCCACATCTTCTTATCTCATCCCCATCTCAGTCAGCTCCCAGTCTGTGTCTCACCTCCAGGAGTTTCTGAGACTGAGGGACAAAAATTATAGCTTTACTTTACTTGCTATTGTACAGTAAGAAGTTGAAATGTAGTACAGTATCATAAGCTTTAAAAGCTTTAAAGTGGACTGTATTTTCTATGTTGTGACTGAAATGTTCTGTATGTATCCCCAGCCTGTGTAAGGTCGGAAACAGTCTAGCCTGGTGCCCATTCCTGGTGGGGTCCTGGCATACTCAGTAGTCAGTACAGACACCCCTGTATAACTAGACTGAGACTTATTGACCAAAATTATAGCTTTACATTACATGCTATTGTACAGTAAGAAGTTGTAGTACAGTATCATAAGCTTTAAAGTGGACAGTATTTTCTGTGATGTGACTGAAACATTCTGTATGTATCCCCAGTCTGTGTAAGGAGAGACAGCATGGCCTGGTGCCCATTCCTGGTGGGGTCCTGACAGACGAGATGAGCCTAAGGGGAAGACTGTATAACCTGTATAACTAGACTGATACTTATAAGCTTTAAAGTGGACAGAATTTTCTATGTTGTTCCTTATGTACCCCCAGCTTGTGTAAGGAGAGACAGTCCGGTCTGGTGCCCATTCCTGGTGGGATTCTGGCAGATGAGATGGGGCTGGGTAAGACTGTGGAGGCGCTGGCACTGATGCTGCTCCATCCACGGCCGGGGTTCAACAGGACAACCACTGCTGCACAGGACAGCAACAGGATAGCAATAGGCGTGCTACAGGATGAGAATAAGACAACAGATGATATATTACAGGACAAAAACAGGACAGCAATAGGGACGTTTCAGAATGAGAACAAGACAACAGATGATACATTACAGGACAAGGACAGGACAATAGCTTCTTGTACTTTTCAGGATGAAAACAAGACAGTAGCTGACATATCTGGTACATCGCAGGACAAGAACAGGACAGTACCTTCTTGTACTTTTCAAGGTGAAAACAACAGAGCAACTGGCATAGCTAATACATTACAGGATGAGAACAAGACAACAGACGCTACCGGTACATCTGGTATGTTAAAGGACAAGAACAGGATGGCAGCTTCTTTTACATTTCAGGATGAGTACAGGATAACAGCTGGCACATTACAAGAACACAACAGGACAGCATGTGATGCAGTTTGCACATTACAGGACAAGGATAATGCATCAACAGACATTAAGAAGCCCAAAGTGGAATGTGATGCACAAGACAGTGTTACAGTGACATGTAGCAAGGACACAGACTGTGGCAAAACCCATGTGGAAAGTAGCGAAGTAGATCTAACACCTGGTAAGTCTCACGCACATCCAGAGGCCAATAGGAGTCCTATAGAAGAGAAGAAAGATGTTTTAACATGTACAAAGGTGGAAGAAGAAGGGGGAAGTGCAATGGATGTTTCTAATCAAATGTCAGAAGAAACAGCTGCTAACAGTTCCAATAACGCACCCAACTTTCAGCCAGACAGTCCTGAAGCTGAAGCACAACAACCAAACACCTCAAGCAATGAAGCCCAACAGCAAAAACGACAAAAGAAGCCATCTAATAAGAAGACAGCTGCCTCCAAGGAAAAAAGCAAGAAGTCTAAGAAAGGAGCAGCTGTTGTTGAGCCAATGTGTATCCCAGCACCGGAGAGTTGCAATGTTCAAAGCACACAAAGGTAAACCTATATAAATGTCTTTCAACTTTTCACTTTCAGTCAAGTTTCACAGTGTATTTTCAGGGAGCTCCCTTCAATCTTATAAGGTATAGAGTTGAAGGATAGCTGACTTAAAAACTTTGTTAGGCATTCAAAATGTTAAGTACTGTTAAAAATTCATCTGTTTTCTATGGAAAAGATTGATGTATTCTCTTTAGAAGATACCTTGGAGGATAAAATTTTAGTTAGTCCATATCTTTACTGGTATCTTCACTGCAGGTTTGAGTGCATCTGTGGCGTGACAGACTCACACATGGACAGCAGGACTCGACTCCAGTGCTGGCGCTGCGGCAACTGGCAACACGCAGAGTGTGTGAACTACGACCTGACCTCCGACCCCACCAACATGGCCGACCCCTATCACTGTCCGCACTGCTCTGTCAGTCTGGTATGTGGAACCATGGCTGGTCACCAGATGTACACATACAGACTAACATCTGCAATGTTGTGGCAGTGTTCTTATGAATAATAGTAGACTGAAGAATAAACGGAAGAATAAACTGCTACCCTTCTAAAGCCCCTGTCACACATTATAGTCCTTCTCCAGGGATCATGGTGGGTAATTGTGAGCAACTCTGTCATCTGTGGTTGGAAGTTGGTCAACTAGTCTCTAAAATTTGTCTACACCAGCCTATAAATTTTGACAAATCAAACTCATATCATTCTAAGATACAATCATAGGAGTGAACTGGAGGTAGAATAAAGTGTATACCTGCAGGCTACTGGTTGGGGAATGGTTGCGGCAAAGTTTGGGAAGGTCCTGAGTGTATACACATTTGTGACAGAGGCTAAGGTAGTCTTATTGAATATAATGTTGGAAAGAAGCTGTCAGAGGGTTTGTCAATTTTTAGGTGTATATCTGTCTAAACCCCTAAACGTACTATCTGTCTTGTTTCAGCCTGCTGTTGCATCAGGGGCTACCCTCATCATCTCCCCGGCTCCCATCAGCCACCAGTGGGTGGACGAGATCAACAGACATGTCAGGAAGGCCGCCATCAAAATGCTGGTTTGTCTCTTTACTTGTACTGTGTTGACAGCCACTCCAAAGAGTGTTGCAAGTGTACTAGTGCATTCAGTCTTTGTTGGCAAGCTTTCCTGGCTTTTCTCTTTGCCTCGGCAGCAGCTATTCTCTCAGTTTCAAATGTTGAGACACAGATGTGTGGATCAGCTGTTGTCAGGCACTGCGATCATGGCAGAGAGCTTAAATGTTTGTGTAGTCAATATGGCCCTTGTTGGAGAGTTCCATGTACCTGTACTGTTGGTAACATATAAGGTGTTTAACTTTCACCCTGCTCCCTGATGCCATAGCCAATACAAATTTAGTACCAAAAGGCTATATCAGGTAAAAAGGTTATGCTAACTACTCTTCTTGTGGTGTAAAAGTTTGAGCGTTTAAATCACTGACCTGTTCCCTGCCATGCAAGCTTGTTCTTATCAAATGCAAGTTCAAATTCAGCTGATCAGGGATGCTGTTTCATGTCAATATGACTTGATGTTTGAACTGTTCCAGTGTTCATATGTGATATGACAAAAGAAATGACTCTCTCCCCAGGTGTACAGCGGTGTGAAGAAACAAGGGTTCCTCCAGCCGAAGGTTCTGGCCGACCATGACATCGTCATCACCACATACGACGTGCTACGGCTGGAGCTCAACTATGTCGACATCCCACACAGCAACAGTCAGTTGGCAATCAATCAATCATAGTCCAATCAGGATGGTTCATTGATAAATAGACAGCAGACAAGTTAGGGACTGTACGATATTTACCGGGGAGGGGGGGCCGGTCGTCCGGGGGTAGCGTAAAAAATTTTTCCTAGGCCCTCCCCCCAGGTCAAAAAATTTTTTTCTAGGCCCTCCCCCCGGCTCAAAAAATTTTTCCTAGGCCCTCCCCCCGGCGTGAATCATAGAGAGTGAAATTTCTTATGGGGAGGACGAGATTTTGTTTGAAAATTTCCCCGCATGAAGCGCCGAAGGCGCCACTAGCCATCGAGCCGCAGGCGCCACTAGAGCCTGAGTAGGCCCGGCTTTTTTGGGGATGTCCCCCCCCTCCCGGAAAAATTTTGAATTTCAACCCATGTTTTGCATGTTGAGGGGCAAATTTGGCAGCACAAATTTTGCTGGTCAGTAAAGTCAGTAACGTTAAGGTCAGTCAGTGTAATCGAAATAATCCTCTATCTAGCCTACCTTTCGTCCACGTCTTCCGCGTCAATTTTATTACAAACAGGGAAACAATATTGCCAAGTTACGTGTTGTTTTCAATTAACTTTGGAGGGACATAGATATAAATGTTAAAATAGTCCTTGGTTTAAAAAAATACCAAATTAATCCGTCGACATCCGACATCCACGCCGAGAAGTTCGAGCGAGTTGCGAGGCGGGACCAGCGGGTCACCTTTGGCGACGCACGCACACCACTGGGAAGGGTGCGTTGAACGGCGAAAATTAATTTTCAAAATCTTCAGACAAGCCATCCCTACATTTTTGATCGGTATCGTTTCGCGGTGTCGCGATTGCCGCGATTTTAATCCATGTAATTTGGCTGTGTAGTCCAGTTTCACCGATTCTGGCGAAAATGCAAGATTTTGAAGGGGACTGTGGGAGATTTGGGCGAATACATTATAATAATAGGGATGGATATTATTGGAACGTAAAATTCTGCCGATTCCAATGACTGGCAAATCGCTACGATATGTATGGACAGACGTTTAATCATGTTTTGAACGTGTATAAAAACGTTGTAGAGTTAAAGGGATCTTGGAAAAAAATTTACCTAGGCCCTCCCCCAAATTAAAATATTTTTTCCTAGGCCCTCCCCCTGGTTCAAATTTTTTTTCCTAGGCCCTCCCCCTCAGACGACCGGCCCTCCCCCCCGGTAAATATCGTACAGTCCCTAATAGTTACCCAGACAGTATCCAGTGAGCTCCATGGGTACTACCTGAATTCTATTCTGATATTCATGTATTGATACAGACACAGATGTACAGATAAAGAGATGGTTTCTTCATAGTTTATGTTGGAAAACAATGTTATCAGGTTGGTAAATCATAGGATACTGTGATTTTCTTGTATATGACCAGTACTTTTTCCCCCCCTTGCTTACATTTTGATCTTCCTCAGGGCTTTTAACTCTGATAGACACTGAAACATAAGTAAGGTGAGAGAAATACTGGCTGTGTAGAAGATAATCCCAATAAACTTTGTGAAGTATAGTTTAATTAAACAAACCTCCTTCCCCCCAGGCTCTGAGGGCCGCCGGTTCCGCCACCAGAAGCGTTACATGGCTGTGCCGAGTCCACTGCCGTCTGTAGAGTGGTGGAGGGTGTGTCTGGACGAGGCTCAGATGGTCGAATGTACCACCGCTAAGGTAGGGGGGACTTGTCAACTTTGGGAAGAGTTCCTTGGATTGTAGCCTGATTAAATCGCTTTACGGTTGCCGGCTGCCCAACATCCAGCCAGCCCCCGTAATGTATGGGGAGGGGCCAGTAAAGCCGCGGACGGCAGAGTTTGCGTTATACAGACTACTTGGATTGTATTGCATTGTAAATATATGGTACAGCATGTTTATGTCCTTGGTATGTCCAGGGCAAAGTTGTAAAGCAGTGCAGAGTCACTTAGCTGGTCTACAGTGACTAAAGAAAATAGAAATTGATAGATAGATATACAAGGAGGAACTGAAAAAAGAAAGGAAGGAACTGGACTGGGGTAGAAAGGACATTTCTGCATAACAGTAAGATGTTTACTTTCAACTTTTCAAGGTTGTGACAAGTTCACGGCAATAATATACTGACTGTTGATGTTGCATTTGAGACAAATTCTGTGCTGCTACAAATAACCACATTGTAGTGAAAAGACAAGCCTATCTTGATGATGGATTGTAAGAAAGTGCTGAAATCTGCTGATGTCTCTCTCCCTGTCCAGGCTGCAGAGATGGCTCTCCGCCTGAGTGCTGTGAACAGGTGGTGTGTGACTGGCACACCCATACAGAGGAACCTGGAAGGTTGGTAGTGTTTATCAATCAGAAAATGCAAAAAATAATGCTGCTATCATAAAAAGCAACTCCTTGTCCTGGTAGTAACAAATATATGAGTGGTAACACACTCTGGTACTGTAAAATACAGTAATCTGTATTGTATGACGCAGTTGGATGTTAAAATCCTTTCCACACCTTTCAGTGTATAGGAGCACTTCTATATCCCTTAGTCCACACAGGCCACTACAGTAAGGCACTAGTCCACTGGTGTGTTCAACTCCCACACTCTCAACTCCCATACACACAGGCCACTCACTATAGCATGGGGCTAGTCCACTGGTAGTGGTGTGTGCTTGCCTCCCATATTTTTCTCATCCACCTATTTATGAAGTTGTAAAAAAAAACTGCCACCCCATCTCCCCCCAGACCTGTATGGTTTGCTCCTGTTCCTGGGCGTTGACCCCTACTGGGTGAAGCACTGGTGGGAACGGCTTCTGTACCAGCCTTATTGCCATGGCAACCCACAACCCATGTACGAGGTCATCTCCAAGGTCATGTGGAGGACAGCTAAGAAGGATGTTCTTGATCAGGTAGGTCTTAGAGACAAGTGAACTTTGTCTAAGGAATCACCTTTAGGGCTTCTTATAGATCTTATGAATCTCAGTGCATACTGAGTGTTCATATTTCTTGTGTAAAATGTATTGGTGAAATGACGGGTACAAATTTGGGAAATTTTATGTCTGGAAAAGTTTGCAGTTTGATATACCTACTTGTAGCTGGCTGTCCCTAGTTTTCGTCCAGAAGCCATAAAAATCTTGCTCCAAAAAAAAAAGACTTGCAATTGATGCAAGCGTGTCTAACCCCCATTTCGGGGGAAAATGATGTTAAAATTGGATTAAAAAAAAGCCACTTACTCTTTTTTTTTCACCTGAGACAAGTGAGGATTCAATTTACCCATAACCTTTGGAGTCTAAGTTAAAAACCATAACCACATACACAAGACCACCTAAAACTGTATGTAGATAGTGCATGTTTGCTTGAAATTGGAACCAGAAACAGAAAATCAAAAACGTTTTTCTTTTACAGATCAACCTGCCAGGTCAGACGGAGGAGGTCCACTGGCTGAAGTTCTCTCCTGTAGAGGAGCATTTCTACCGCAGGAAACACGAGGACTGCTCCAGACACGCCTTCAAGGTCCTGAGTCAGTGGCACGATCTGGACACCAAGCTGTGTCAGCTGGACAGGAGGACCATGCAGACTGTGAGTTTGATTGTTTGTTTCTTTTACTACAAACTCTTCTCATACAACACACCAGTTCTGTACTTGGAGACAGTAGACATTAGGTACAGAAGGATAGTGAGTGTGTGAGTGAGTGAGAAGGCTCTGATTTGTTTGAGCCATTCCACACTGTGCCTGTGGTAAGTTCTTACTTTTGTCAGAGAGTGTGCCAACCAGATTCTTTGACATGCTCAAAAGGTAGCTCTTCTGAAACACAGGATATTTCAGGTACCTTTCGAATCAACTGCATTTTAATCTTATAATGGAATGTTAATATATGTAATTCCTATGAAGGAAACTACAGGTATCTTTGATAAATATTTTCTGATTGTTCCTTGCAGATGCTGTGGCCCCTGCTGAAGTTACGTCAGGCCTGCTGTCATCCCCAGGCAGTCAGAGGGGAGTTCCTACCTCTGCACAAGAGGTCAGACTCACTTGTTACTCTTGTGACATATGAAAAATCTGAAGGCAGCACTTCAGAATTGTGGCAGGGTTTTGACTGTACATTCCAGTTTTGTAAGGCAAGATCTGAATCAAATAAGTGGTTTAACAGCAAAGCATACACACACACTTACTGTTTGGGACTGACAACTAGTATAAAGCACTTGAAGTAGTTTTTGGTCAGCAGATAAGATAAGTCTTCTGTGTGTCATATTTCAGGTCAGCACACAAGAAGAGAAAATCCCTTGTCTTAGTTTGTTACTAGTAGGTCCTTATATCTCCTAATACATGTTTAATGTTGTGCCTTCAGCACCATGACAATGGATGAACTGCTGAAGTCTCTGACCCAGAAGTGTAAGATAGAGTGTGAGGAGGCACACAGACAACTCATCTGTGCACTCAACGGTCTGGCTGGGATTCACATCATCAAGGAGGAGGTTAGTTAACTTATTAACTAGTTAGTTAGTTAACTCTAGTTAGTGATCATGACCAGAAGTGTAAGATAGAGTGTGAGGAGGCTCACAGACAACTCATCTGTGCTCTCAATGGTCTGGCTGGGATTCACATCATCAAGGAAGAGGTTAGTTAACTTACTAACTAGGTTAACTTATTAACTAGTAATAGTTAACTCTAGTTAGTGATGACCAGAAGTGTAAGATAGAGTGTGAGGAGGCTCACAGACAACTCATCTGTGCACTTAACGGTCTGGCAGGGATTCACATCATCAAGGAAGAGGTTAGTTAACTAACCAGGTTAGTTAACTGTGAGCCTATACTATACACTGTTAGTTAACTTATTAAGTTTGATTAGTTAACTCTAGTTAGTGATCATGACCAGAAGTGTAAGATAGAGTGTGAGGAGGCTCACAGGCAACTCATCTGTGCACTCAACGGTCTGGCTGGGATTCACATCATCAAGGAAGAGGTTAGTTAACTCTAGTTACTAGTAGTTAACTTTAGTTAGTTAACTCTAGTTAGTTGACACTAGTTATTTAACACAAGTTAGTTAACTCTAGTTACTTAATAGTTAACTTTAGTTAGAGATGACTTCTTTCCTTTTCAATAATCCTTTCCAGTATCGTACATATTGGGTGATTGACAACAGCCAGGATTCGAACTCCCAACCTCTTGGTCCAGAGACAAGTACATCATGCTAAGAACTGGTAAACACATTTTTGTCCTAACTTACTGTGGTATTCAGAAGCAGAAAAGTTCCAGGATTGGAACTCTCAACCTTTTGGTCCAGAGACAGAGTTGTTTTCCACTGGACTACATTAACACTAAGTTTCTATCCCTACTTTAGTACCCAGAAGCAGTGGAGAAGTACCGTGAGGTTCTGAGGTCAGTGCAGGAACACGAGGGCAGACTGAAGACTGACAAACTTCAGCGACTCCACACACTACATAACCTGGCCAGAGTTCTGCAGAGGAAGCTACCCGGGGTGGCTCCTACACTCAGGGACGACCAGCTACTGAAGGAGGTTTGTTCTTTGTTTTTCTTGTTTGTTTGTTTGCTTGTTGAAGCTAAAGCGGCTTCACACATTACACAACCTGGCTGGAGTGCTGCAGAGAAACTACCCGGGGTGGCTCCTACACTCAGGGATGATCAGCTACTGAAGGAGGTACAGGTTTAGTTTGGGGTTGTATATTTTTGGTTTGCTGAATACAGGCATGAGGATGGGAGTAGGTAAAGGAACACTACTATTGTCAGTCAGTCTCAAAAGTATTTGTAAAGGAATACACTATCTCCACACTTTACAAAAGCTGGCAGGGTTGCTGCAGTGAAAACTACAGCCAAGGATGAACAACTTCACTTTCCTGTAATTTTTGAGTGAATATTGTAACTGTATGGGATTGGTGACCAGAATCTGTGTTTTCCTTCTTTAGGCTGATGAACTGAAGACATATTACATGCAGAAGTCCCTGGATAAGATCCACGCCTCCCAGCAGACTCTACTGCCCATACAGCAGAAGGTAAGGTATTTTTGGCTGTACAACTCCAGTCTTTGTCAAGGAATGAGCAATCCACTACTTCCATGATGCCATGTTACGCAGATGACGTGACTTGGTGAGTAGTGCTCTTTCCTTGACAAAGATTGGAGTTGAAAATTTGATTAAGTCCAATGCCTTGTGTTGGAAATTAAAGTTTAAACTGCTTCATAATGATGTCTACGAAACACGGATGGACTTTCAAGATAACGGTTGCTAAGCAACCGTTGCTAAGGTTACGTGTTTTCCCCGCAGGTTACACAGCTGCGTCGTAAGCTGCAGCCAGGCACGCCGTGGTGGATGGATGCCCTGCAGTGGGCCATCTACTGGGGAAAGGATGAGGACCTGGCCGAGAGGATACGCAATGAACTATCCGGGGACAGGGACCCCGACGCTACCAGCATTGTCAACAAGTCAGTTGGAAACTTTTAGTTGACTTCTATTTTTCTTTACTGTTCTGTATTATCAGCAACAAGTTGTTAGGCAGTAGGGACCCAGAAGCTAGGAGTATCGTCAACAAGTTTGGTTCTGTTTGAAGAAAAATGTACTCTGTTTTATACCTTTACTGTTCTGAATCATCTGCAACAAGCTGTTACTAGTGTTAGGTCAGAGGCTTCTAGTACATGTATTGTCAAAAAGTGAGTTGCAAATTACCATAATGAAAGAATGGATTCAAGTGTTCCAAATTGGTAGAATTTTACCTCCTTACAGTTTTGGGTTCATGTTTGAGCCTGTTGATATTTTATGCTTGTTGGTATTTTAACAAAAGATCAACAGAGCATGACAATGGGGGGGGGGGAGGGGGAGGTCGAGGATATCTAACACGTTTTAATAGAAAGCAATTAATGGGGTTTCTAGAACACTTTAACTTAAAAAGCACTGTATGGGGGTTTTGAGGATATTTTACATTACTTTCCCGACAGGTTCTGTGATCTGAGGAGCCTGCAGTTGGAGAACCTGCAGCAGTCTCATGCTGCGGTCTGCACAGCTGTCAATCATCTAATGACCTTTCCCGACAGTTGTCAATCATCTGATCATGCCCTTTCCCGACCTTCCCAGGTTCCGTGACCTGAGGGGACTGCAGTTCCTGCTGACCTCTCAGCTGGAGTCCCATGCTGTGGTCTGCACAGCTGTCAATCATCTAATCATGCCCTTTCCTGACAGCTGTCAATCATGACCTTTCCCGACCTTCCCAGGTTCCGTGACCTTAGAGGCCTATAGTTTCTCCTGACCTCCAAGCTGGAGAACCTTCAGCAGTCTCATGCTGTGGTCTGCACAGCTGTCAATCATCTAATCATGCTCTTTCCTGACAGCTGTCAATCATCTGATCATGCCCTTTCCCGACCTTCCCAGGTTCCGTGACCTGAGGGGCCTGCAGTTCCTCCTGACCTCCCAGCTGGAGTCTCATGCTGCGGTCTGCACAGCTGTCAATCATCTAATCATGACCTTTCCTGACAGCTGTCAGTCATCTGATCATGACCTTTCCCGACCTTCCCAGGTTCCGTGACCTGAGGGGACTGCAGTTCCTCCTAACGTCCCAGCTGGAGAACCTTCAGCAGTCCCATGCTGCGGTCTGCACAGCTGTCAATCATCTGAGTCAGGACCCCACCCAGCAGATCATCCAATCAGCAGTGGAGTGCCACCTCAGGCCGGAGAAGGGGGAGGAGCTACACACGTACGTTTGTTCTATAGAACTTTTCCAAGGTCAAGCAATCATGGAGTTTCAAAGTCAGTATGGCAAGTCTTCATACATGGCCTAAAATGTAAGAATTACAGTAGTAAAGTCATTTATTTCTGAGGAATTTAATTTTGCAATAATGCAGGAGGAGGGGGAGGAGCTACACACGTCTGTTCCATAGAACTTTTCAAGGTCAAACAAAGTAACTGGTAGAGTGCAAAGTCCATATGGCAAAACTGCATTCAGTCTGAATTTCTGAACTGTTAAATGTAATGTTTATTCAAATTGTTTTGTTTTGACTGGGTAAGAACTAAAGAAGTGAAAACAAAGGAATGAAAATAAACATCAATGTTGATTTTTTACAGTTGTGACTTCTGCAAGGCTGACGACCTGTTCTTGGAATATGAATCAAGACTCTTCTCCTTCACAGCAAAGTACGTAAATTGTGTCTTTTATTTAACTTCCAAACTTGTGTACAAATAATTTTTTTGGTCAGATATCTGTAGTGATGACTGAATGTTGTCCAGTTGAAGGCACCTTGGCTATCTATTCTTTTTTATCATCATTGTGTTGATGATACTCACAATACTGGCTGTAATACAAAGATGACCACTAATAAAAGTTTCAAACTTTGTATTGATGATGAAATCTTTTTTTTTTTGATTGCCAAATTGCCAAAACTGAATACCACTGACTGTATCAGAAATATATAATACATGCATTAGAAATTGAGATCTGGAAGGAAGGAAGGAAGAGTTGTTGACTTCATATTCTTGCTCAATCTTGAAGACGTCTTGAAGACATGGTAGCGGAGGAGGAGGAGAATCCGGAGCGTCAGGTGACCCGGCGAGGCGTCTGGGCGCAGAGCGAGACGGAGAAGTGTCTTAAGATCGTCCTGAGCTTCTGCAAGTCCAGCCGTCTGGAGGAACAGTGGGTGGAGGAGGGAGGCATGCAGGTGGAGCTGTTCGAACAGCTTAGGAGGGAGTACAAGGTAACACTAAACAAGAGTGGATTCAAAAAACATTTTGGCGATGTGTGTGTGTCTGTCTGTCTGGAGCAGCAGTGGGTGGAGGAGGGAGGCATGCAGGTGGAGCTGTTCGAATAGCTCAGAGAGCACAAGGTAACACTAAACAAGAGTGGATTTAAAAACATTTTGGCGATGTGTGTGTTTGTGTGTGTGTGTGGCGTGTGTGTGTGTGTGTGTGTTTGTGTGTGTGTGTGTGTAGGTGTGTGTGTGTGTGTCTGTGTTTGTGTGGCGTGTGTGGTTGTGTGTGTGTGGTTGTGTGTGTATGTGTGTGTCTGTGTGTGTGTGTATGTTTGTGTGTTTTTGTGTGTGTGTTTCTGCAGTACCCACAACTCACCTGTAAAAAAGAGTAAAGAGAAGTTTTCATTCGCTACCTGTGTTTCCATAGCAACTCCACGTGGTGTGGATGGCCCTGCGGGACCGAGTGGCGTCCATCGATGAGCTGGACATGGCCACGACTCGCCTGAGGCTCCGGCTCCCGGAGGAGGAGAGAACCGACCCTCTGCAGCCCAACATCATCGAGCCTGGCGAGGTAAGGGCTTAGGGTTAGAATTGTCTGCTAAACTCACTAAAGGCTAGATAAACTACAAACATTGACCAAAACGGGCAAACTTTTGGACTCCTTTCATAGGAAATTCTAAAGGATTGCATCCGACCCATCCCCCACCCCTTACATTTGTACCTGTAGTCTGCAAATCTGGCCATAATTAAATCCTGGAATTAATCCTTTTATACTAGTAAAAGCAGGAACAATAGACAGAATGACTTGAACCACATCAGATAATTGACCTGAGTCAACTAAATTACAAGGCCGTTCCCTTTGCCTGTTGATTCTGTTGAATGTTCTATGAAACTGTATTATTTCCAGATTGACCACCAGTGGATAAAGAACCTGAATGACAAGGCCGTGGCCACCAGTCTGCTGCACAGGAAGCTGGGCCAGCTGCTGTACCTGAGGAACCTGGCCAAGTCCCAGGAGTACCAGAAGGACGGAGTCAACCCTGAACCCTGCCCTATCTGTCAGAGGCAGCTGGGTGCTGAGGTAAGGACCTGTGTGAACTTGTGTCAAACAATCTATCGCTGTCAGGGGTTGGTTAGGCAGCCTCCTCCGTACATGAGTTTCCTCACTTATACTTCTCAATGGATGGATCCAAGATGTCGGTTAGCTTGAGGAATGAATCCCCTCTACTATATATGACTTTCCTCACTCCTTATCTGTCAGAGGCAGCTGGGCACTGAGGTAAGGACTTGTGTTGGTCTAGCCTTTTGAATCCTGAACTGTGCTTTGTCCAGAACCATGTTCAAGGCACAATCCTGGATAGTCCAAGAATATCCAAATTGTACCTGGGGCAAATCCCCATTCTAGGATATGCGGAAACTGTGCCTGATCCTAACCCTAACCCATTCAGGTATAGAACTAGATAGGCATGGTTCTGGATACATCTTTCGCTGTCAAGGGCTGGTTGGCCTCCTCTCTCTGCCCAGGGGTAAAATTAGCACCTGACTTGAATTGCTTGGTAAAAGGCGGTGGAAGGAGATGGCCTATGCCCAAGACACATTAAAAATCAATTTCCGAAAAAAGGCTAAGGGACCATTACCTCACTTATACCCTTACAAGAATGTATGACTATGTCTCCTTGTCCATTTGAAAGTAAAGTTTACCTCTTTGTTCCAGTGGAGTGCACTGATGTGTGGCCACTGCTTCTGTGAGGAGTGCATCTCAGTGCTGCATGTAGCAGATAAATAAAAGTTGTTTGTTGTCTTCCCCCATTCAAATGGAGTGTCCTGATGTGTGATTAGAAAATAAAACCTGTTCCCCCCTTTGTTCCAGTGGAGTGTCCTGATGTGTGGCCACTGTTTCTGTGAGGAGTGTATCTCTGTGCTGGTGAACCAGTTTGGATTGGGCGGCCGCCGGGGGTCCATCCGCTGTGCCATCTGCCGCCAGCTGACCGCGACGCGGGACATCTCGTATGTCAGCACGGAAGCCAAGGAACAGGAGGATGTGGATGTGAAGGTTTGTTTAAAGTTAAAACTTTAGATCCAACACAGAGAAGATCTCTCACCTAGAGCTTTTGACCAGTCACTCTGGTCTTCTTCAGTAGACTGACGCAGTGAGGCTTGTCACGTGGCTTCTTTGAAGTGTGACATCAACACCGGGTGAAAGGTATCTGGTAGACGATGTTGGCCCCCGTCTTGGTTGAGTGGTCTCAGTCTACTGAGGAAGACCAGTGACTGGTCAAAAGCTGTAACTGTGAGAACGTATTTGTGTTTGATCAAAAGATTGATGTTAATCTAATGCCTGTAACTAGGATTATGAGTGCGCGAGTTTGTGATTCAACTAAAATGATACATGTAATGTACAACCAGTGCTCCTTTTTCACAGGGAAGTCACTCCACTAAGGTTGAGGCAGTGGTCCGAACCCTGAAACTCATCCAGCAAAACGACCCCACAGCCAAGTCGCTGGTCTTCTCTACTGTAAGTCTGTTATAATGCTGGATACCTAAGTCACTACCTTCTTGATTGTGTATTTACATGTAGCTTATTGTCAACCCTCTTTCATTTTGACAAGATGCAGTCCCCAAACATATGAAGAATGGAAGAACCCATACACTTTATTTCTTCTCCACTATAAGTTTGTTATACCGGTAATGCTTGGTATCTAAATCACTATCTCCATGATAAGCTTATGTCAACCCTTTTTCATCTTGACAAATTATGAAGAATGGAACAACCCATAAACTTTATGCCTTCTGAACTTTAAGTGTATATCTTTTCTTTTGTATAATTGCTTGTTGTGATTCTTAAATCCTTAATTCTTACAGTGGCAGGATGTGTTGGACGTTGTGGCCACAGCACTGAGAGAGAACAACATGGAGTACAGGGCCATCAACGGCATTCACAGGTTCCAGGTCAGCTCCAGCCTCCTTCTGTTTAACCATGTCATAAGGACAGTGGTGTTTGATTCAATAACAACAACATTGGCCTATCAACTTGTTTGTTTATTTTTTGGCTGTAAAATGCATATGGCCAGGGCTCTCCAACTAGCCAATGGTCACTAGTATTAGTATTTACAAAGGCCTAACCCTGCTGACAAAGACTATACAGAACATAGATTCTGAAGAGTTTTTACTAATTTGACTAGGGTGCATTCTTGAATAGCCTAAGATGTGACGGGATATTATGAAAAAGTATTTTTTGAAAATTTTGGAAGGTATTCTGTTCATTTTGCAAAAAGATAATTCCAAATGCAGAACTTGACGAAGATTCTTCTTCTGATGTTTTTTCCAGGAGAACCTGACAGACTTTAAGTACGACGGCAGGATTGGGGTGTTGCTCCTCCCTCTACACACCGGCTCACACGGACTGAACATCATCGAAGCCACCCATGTGCTGCTGGTGGAGCCCATCATCAACCCAGCTCAGGAGGCACAGGCCATCGGCAGGGTGCATCGCATTGGCCAGACCAAGTAAGGACTGGTATACAGAACATAACTCTAACTCTAACTTAAACACAACCCAGCACAGGAGGCACAGGCTATCGGCAGGGTACATCGCATCGGCCAGACCAATTAAAACTTATAGATATGACTATATCTTTAACTCTGACCCTAACTTCAAGCACAACACAGAAGACTCAAGCCATTGGCATAGTAGGTAAGGACTGATACATACATGTACCTAACACTTACCCTAACTTAAATACAACCCAGCACAGGAGGCACAGGCTATCGGCAGGGTACATCGCATTGGCCAGACCAAGTAAGGACTGTTATAGACATAACTCTATCCCTAACCCTAACATTTAAAACACAATGCAAGGAGGCTCAAGCCATTGGCAGAGTAGGTAAGGACTTATACGTATATACATGCCTCACTCTTACCCAAACTCAAACACAACCCAGCACAGGAGGCTTAAACCATTTGCAGGGTGCATTGCATTGGGCAGTAGGGTCCACCATTCCTTTTTCAATTGATTGATACTTGAACTTAGTATTCACCAGTCAATTCCACAGAATCTGCAGATTTTCTCCCTTAAGCTTTCCTAGCATTGTGACGAAAATATAAGGTAGAGATAAGATACAGTGTCCTCTATCTTAAACTTTGAAGTCAATAGAACTGGTTCTGTTTCAGGGCGACAATTGTCCATCGTTTCCTGGTGCAAAACACCATCGAAGAGAGAATCCACGCCATGAAGAAACACATCAGTGCCAGGTAACTTGTTTATGTCTACAAATCAGATTTGAGCTCTGTCCTTGGTGCTGATTGGCTGTGATAGCCTGCCCTTACTTCCAATTATATTTATACCCTGTCCTTGGTGCTGACTGGTTGTTGTTGATACCTCTGAGTCTTTCATTCCAACTCTAGAAGAATGGTACATGTAGTAGGATGGTTTATTTCTACAAAATGACAGCCTAGTTGTGACCAAATTGTCAGGCTTATTTACATCATGTATAAAGACACACAATAACTGCCATATTGCAATTCCACTAAGCATCACAAGGCGTAATGACAAGGCGTTAACAACTATTATTCATATGCCATACACTGTTTTCATTTTCTCATTTTCTCAGTGACAGTATCGACACACAGTCTGAAGGAACAGTCCTGACAGTTGGTGACCTGCGCGACCTCTTCAGCGATGCCTTTCACCACCGAGAAGACGACTCCCCTCCCCCGCCCCAGCAGGAGTACGATCAGGCCAACGGCGCTCTGGAGGAGTTCGATGATGGTGATGGTCACCATGGTGATGGTCACCATGGTGATCATCACCATGGTGATGGAGGAGCCACACCCTGACAACTGGCACAACAACTTCTCACAAGCCTCCCCATCCCAGCAGGAATACGATCAAACCAATGGCAGCCTGGAGGAATTTGTTGATGGTGGTCATCACCATGGTGATTGTCACCATGGCAACAAAGAGGGCACACCCTGACAAGTATTACACCTTCTCACAACACCCACCCCCCGTTGAAGATGAACTTTTAAACACGTTTTAAACACATCGTTGGAGAATGCTCGTTCATGTGATCTTTTTTATCTATTATGTGAATTTTCATGGATATCGCAGCAGTCAATAGTGTCTGCTATATTGGGGTCCATTTGTGAGAGTGTGCATGGAGGGATCCTGGTGGTAATGCGTAACGGTACATTATCAAGAAAAAAGGCATGCAGGCTGTCATTAGGGGTACACTGTCTCTCTGTTTTATCAGTGGGGTTTTAATTAAACTTGGTAGTAAATAGTGGTACATGTAGTAGAGAGTGTTGACATATGTTGAAGAAAAGATATAGTGTATACTGAAGTTATTTATGACAAAAACTAAAGCACCACTTTACAGCAATGTAAATTTGCTCTTACTCTTCTCAAGAGTTTTCATCTTTGTCAGCATAAAACAAGTACTTTGTTATGTCATCTGAACTAAGATGCTTGGGGAATGTTGGAAATATTACTACATGTAATAAAAACATATCTTTAAACACTTCTGTATTTGCTTTTGTTCTTCATCATTTCAGTTATACCAGGAAGCGTTGTATGATGTTTGTACAATGTTTGCAACAACGAATATTACGCTCGCCTTTGGAGAGCACAGTAAGGGACATCACTGCAAGGAAAGCAGCAGCCTGGCAAGCTTGCAACAAGCTGAAAAACATCTGGAGATCGAACCTCTCACGTGGATTGAAAGTGAGGCTCTTCCTCTCGACTGTTGAGGCAGTCCTCCTGTATGGATGCGAGGCATGGACTCTTACCATCAAGCTAGAAAAGCAGTTGGATGGATGCTATACGAGGTTGCTAAGAACTGCACTCAACATCCACTGGTCACAGCATGTTTCGAACAGGGACCTTTACGCCGACCTACCAAGACTCTCTAGCAAAATTAGATCAAGAAGGCTTAGGTTTGCAGGACACTGTCACAGGAGCAGAGAGGAGATTGCGGCCGAGCTGGTACTGTGGACTCCCAAGCATGGGAGGAGGAAGGCCGGCAGACCGGCTACAACCTACATAGACTGCCTAAGGAGAGACACTGGCCTGGAGGTGGACTACTTGGGTCAAGTGATGGAAGATAGGGAGTGTTGGTCAGCCATTTTGTCTCGAGGCCAGGGACACCAGGACTCGACATAAGTCAAGTCAAGTTTGGGGCGTCACCAAAAAAAGCAGGGCAATCTGATGACCTTTCAACTCAGATTCTTACACTACACAAAAAGGGGTGTTTAATTTCATGTTATTTCTTCTGAATACGAAAATAATCGATAATGTGAAAATTAGAAACACTTTTTTCGTTCATAACACATTTCAAATAACGTTCAGTTGTTCCTATTAAAGTTGAAACTTGATCACATTGACGTTTTTACATTATATTGGACTAACTAACTCCCCCGTATTTGGAATGTTCCACTCTAAATTCATCACCCTCCCAACATGGCGTCCCGTCAAAGCCATCGGTCCAGTAGCCTGCTCCGGCGGGGCATCCCTCCTCCCCTGTCCCTACAGGCGCAGCCCGACACCGAGGGGCTACAGAACCCGGCGGCGGGGATAGACTCGCCGAACCTGGGCAGCTCGGCGATGCTGCACGACCAGAGGAAGAGCGCCATGCTGTCCGACGCGGCGCGGGAGTTCTCCTCAGGTGACCCCGAGGGGCATGCTCTGTCCCCGATAGACCTCGCCTCGCACAGGTACGAATTATACACAAAACCGTAACATACCAGCTAACCAATCGACAAAATAATCGTCCCAACGATTGTGGGCATTAGACGGAAGAAGAAGAACCAGAGACGGTGTCCTTCATGTCAAGATGGCGTTCAAGATGAAATGTCGTTTTCTAATGACAAGGACCAAAGAGTTGTAAATATATAACGTTATATGGATATATTATAACCTCCTTCCATAGACGAAAAATTATTTACATGTACTAAATAATTAGAGGGCCATATATACATGTGTAACGCTTTACCAAAGAGAGATGGTTTCTATTGTAATTTGTAAAGGACAGAAAAGTTTCACAAAGTACATATGCTATGTAGTCATATATAGTTTCTAGAATAGACTAGTATTATTGTGTTATGATTGCATTATCACAATTTGTTGTCATGTACGTTACTGTGTACAACTGAATAGTTATTTCACTTCTTTCTTCAGCCTCCCCCAGTTTTCACCCACCATGGAGCACTCCATGGACATGGGGCAGACATCGCTGTTCCCATCGCTGGACAGTGTGACAAGGTTCGTTGTTGTCCTTTTATCTCGCTAGATTTCACTAGGTTCAGGTACATCAATGTTCTCTCAAGGTTTTTAACATGTGGTGAATTGAGCCTTTGTTTTGTTGGGAGTGCTGAAATAGTTTAGCATGTTGAATCTGTGCAAGGAACTTCATATACATGTAGCTCCTTGATCTATGTGTGCTCTCAGTGTACTGCTGGGAAAAGGTTCCATACATCTTTGTGTTGATGCTGTCTGTGAGGTCTTCCCTCAGTCCAAGTGATGATGTCAGTGTCCCTGTTGTCCTCTGTTGTGCCATATGTCTAGTATATGCTCTCCACCTCTTGCAGCATCTGATGTGTTTCTCTGTCGTACATGTAGATTCGTCGGTTTGGAGCAGATGGAGGGACAGGGCGCAACCGAGGAGCCAGAAAAAATGGCGTCTTCCTGGTCATCAGAACCAGAGAACCTGCACCAACCTCCCGCCCCAGAAAAAGTTCCAGAAGTGAAACCTACCGCAAAGTCATCCCCGCGACACCCTGCGAAGAAGAAGCAGGCAGAAAGAGTGAGAACGCCAGCAAAGGAGGTCGTTAAGGTGAAAACAGAGCCAGTAAACGATCCGTACGCCTTCGAAGACGAACCTACACCAGTGGAAAGCTTCAGCCCTAAAGCTACTGCCATGGCTCCTCCCAGCACAACTGCCCTCCCTCCCGCTATACCCTACCCATTCTCGGCGATGCTACAGAGCCACGATCCACACCACTTCCCGCAACCGATGCCTTCTTCTGGACCGGTGGCTGCGAAGAAGAAAAAGAAGAGCAGCAGCGGTGGCACCAAGCACACGCAACAGTACGACAACGAGAAATACAGGAGGAAGTACCAGCTACTGAAGAGAACCGTGAAAAATATGGTGTTCGAGAATGCAGCGCTTTGTGACGAAGTCTCACACATGGATGAACGCATTGCCAAGGCGAAGGAGGACAGGAAAGCTTTGCTGAAGAGGTTGTTTCAGCATCAAGCGTTGAACGAAGTGGCCCAAATCTCCATGGTGTCCCCACAACACCCCCTGCCAGGTCATTCCAGCGTTCCCTCGCTCGGTAAACCTGCTACGCTAGACATGGTCACACCGAACCCAGCCAAGGTAGCAGCTAGTAGCACTGGCAAAGGGAAGGGAAAGGATACCGGCAAGGCAGCAAAAGGGAAAGAGAAAGACTCCACAAAACCATCCACAAGCAGTAGTGCCAAGAAAAAGAAGGACTCGGGTAAAAAATTTGTGCGTCCGATTCCCCTAGACCCAACAGGAAGGCCGATCTTTCCCGTCACCCTCGGTGAACTTACTGTGTACAGTTTGGGGGATGTAGTTGTAGACAGAGCAGAGTTTCACAATGAGAAGTTCATCTGGCCTGTCGGATTTTGCAGTACCCGTGTGTTTGCCAGCACCAGGAACCCTCACCAGAGGTGTCTGTACACGTGCAAGATTTCCGACGGCGGTGGTGGACCGAAATTCGAGATATCGCCCGAGGACGACCCTGAGTTAACCATCGTAGGTTCTTCCGCGGATGAGTGCCACAAACAACTTCTAAACGCTCTCACAGATATCCTCGGGAAGGATCCTTTTGGCAAAGACGACATTTGCGGGTCGGATTTCTTCGGTTTCTCCAACCCAACCATACAGAACTTGATACAGAGCTGCCCGGGTGCGCGGAAGTGCACGAAGTACAAGTGGGTGAAGTTTGACGCCTGTCGATCGAGTAAGACAGACACAGATGCGGAAGAAGAGGATCTAACGCTAAGTTTCACTGCTTTACAGAAGGCTTGGGGTCTGAGGGGGGATGAGCAGTCTCCTGCAAGAGGCCATGGCACAATGGACCCTAACACAAGCCTGAGATCTCTGTTAACCTCAAATGTGCCTCTAGTGACTATGGGGATAGCTGGGGGAATGCCTAGTATGTCTGGTCATGATGGCATGTAGACTTAAAAAGCTGTACTTGAAATTGTACTAGCAGTATATTGTGTATATTCTTGATGTGACTTGCCAAATCGAAACCTAATCCAAATTGGGGTTGCTAATTATTGTACAGAATCAGTGATACCATATTATATCTACTCAATTCCTTGTAAAGGCATAATGATATTGGTATATCAAACATTATAGTGTAATGTTATATTTATGAAATCTGAAGAGAAGACCTACTGTATACTGTATATCAGATTCAGTGGTGCTTAGCAGCAGTTACCCCAATGGGCTTGAATGTACAATAAAGGTTGGATTTTCTCTAAGCTATTACGTGTATTTGAATGAATGTGTTGTTTGTGTTAGCATGTGATGCTTTCTCTGTTGTTCATCCATCCCATATCAAAAGACACTCACACATAAGCATATTAATTTTGCAGAATCCACCAAACTTCTTCCAGGTGTGATGACCAAGGCTGGTCGAGAATAATATGGTCTTGTGTCAGCCATGATGGCAGAATGTAATGAAACACACTGCACATGGTTTTCACTTTCAAGTAGCTGGGCTTTTAATATTTTGTACTTTTAGAAGTTGTGATTTGAAGCTGTATAATGTTATACAGCATAGCACAAGATGGTACAACAGTACCTGTACCCTGTACATACATAATGTACAATGTAAATTGGTCTACTATAAATACATTATATTTATATGCCAGGTTGTTATGCCTGGCAACTTTGAGCCAAGAAAAGCATTTCTATAACCAACCTAAAAACTAAAAAAAGTATTTGATTTGGACTTGGATTTATGTTTATATGATTTTGATGCCTACGTTTATGTTCATGTTTATGTTTTGGTGTCTTATGAGCCCATATGGGCTGGGTGACAAAAGTCGCAAGACACGTAAATAAAATTAATTCATGAATGATTCATATATGTCCTGTAAAGCTTCAGTCTGTGCCGAAGTACTTCTGCCCAAAGTGCACAGGAACATGAGGGTGGATCTCTGATGTCAGGATGGTCATGTCTGGGTGTTCATCTGTCACGGACTTCAGGGCTGGGACACAAACAACTGCAGTTAGATTACTCAAAAAAGATAGTAACAGACTTGTTACACTTGTAAAATTTATGTAAAATGTACCTAAAACATGAAATCAGTAAATCAAGACATGTCACGTACACTCAAAATACAAGTACATGACTTGTATATACCCCCTTTCTTTTTTTGGTATGGTAAAAAACGAGTAACGTGTACTTACATAGATGTTTGTTAACCCGAAACGGGTTAGACGTGCTTGCCTCAATTGCAAGTCTTTTTTGAGCAAGATTTTTATGGCTGGATGCCCTTCTTAATGCCAACCCAAACCCTACTAGGGCCTAGGATCCCTGTAACTGAGGGGGGAAATACGTGTAAAGTGCCTTTCCCAATGACTAGATTTACAAATCCTATCAGATATTTTCCTGTTTGAAGTAACCAGTGATCTAACACTCACCATGTGGTGTCACAAACAGACTGAGCAGCAGAATGTTGCTCTCCTTCACTCCATGCTCCTTTAGAACCTGGACTGCCTGGATAGCAGTGTTGCCTGAACCTACAAAAAGGAAAAGGAAAATGTAAGATAAAACTTGGCATGTAAGGACCAAAAACATACTTACATTGTCAAATACACACAGGAACATTCATGCAATCTGTCTATCTATCTATGGATCAAGATCTTTATTTGCAATCAGATACATTTTCATGTACAGATGTACAGATACAGATTTCTGAGTAGGATGACCGTATTAGTTCCTACGCCTGAGTGAAGAGGGTTGACACGGTGGCCTTTGCATGGATTTGTTTAAGGTGGATAACAGGATGCGAATCTGAGACCCACACACTTGTCATTTCATGCAATACATACACCACAAACATGCATCATTGTCATGCTGTAAACACAGAATGATCATTTACCAGTCACAATAATAGAAAACAAGTCAAATCAAAGAACAAATCATTCACAGCATAAATAGAAAACAAGCAGCACACAGTAAAATCCAGGGGGCTACTCACCCTGCCCACCTTTGCATGGAGACAAGAAAAGAAACAAAGGAGATACAATAAGATAACACTAGACACATTCCTATTAAGAATATATTGTGTATACAAAGTGAAAGAAGAAAATTGACAACACATTCAAGTAAACTTTGAATGGTAAAGTGCAAAAGTGGACAGAAAAGACTGAAACAAAATAGAGTGGTAAACTAATACATGTACAAGCACAAATTAGACCAAGGGAAAAATGTTTCCTGTTTCCTGACCCACCCTAGAAAAACTGCCAACCTTAAAATTCTTTTTGGGTGGACCCCTTCAAGGGACATAAATTTTTCAAGCTGATCAACCTTTTCTAGCTCCATGATCTGACACCCAAGTGACAAAACATTGTGTGATTATTTTCTAACATTGACATTGAAAATAAAAGTGTCCTCATGGCAAGTTCTACTTTCTTAAACTGTATTGTATAAGTTGGACCCCTATATAGATATCACTGAAGTCTAAAAAAAAAAGAAAAAAAAGAAAATCCCTACTACTGATTTTTTCAAGACTGAAACTGGAAACACAACATTTTTTCCTAGGCCTTTTCACCAACATGCTGTATATGAGGCTACAACATTTCCTTGAAACGTACTGAGAATGGGGTACATCAGCAGCACTTTTCTGCTGTCCACGTCGGGAGGGAACTTGGCGTAATAGACCTTCGCCTGGCGCGTGTCTGCCTCGCTCTGGATCAGGATCTTGCCTATCCGGATGGACCGACAGCAATCTCGTAAACCCTGCTCCATAGCTTCACCTGGACAGGTGGGTATTACAGGTGTTATTACAGGTGGTTATTACAGGTGGTTATCACAGGTGGTTATTGATAGGTGGTTATAGAAAGGTGGTTATTACAGCTGGTTATTACAGCTGGTTATTACAGCTGGTTATAGAAGAGAAGTTAATTGCAAATTCATGCCCTCGGGGGCTAATTGCAGATTACAAACAAAAATGAATTACGAACAATGAAACGTAGTATAAAATAAACAGGTGGTTATACACAGGTGGTATATCAGGTGGTTATTGACAGATGTTGAGCCGGCAGCAGTCTCACAAACCCTGACTCCATAGCCTCACCTGGACATAGGTGGTTATTACAGGAGGTTATAACAGGTGTTTATTACAGGCGGTTATACACAGGTGGTTATTACAGGCGGTTATACACAGGTGGTTATTGACAGGTGGTTATAACAGGTGTTTATTTTTACAGATGGTTAATACAGGGGTTTATTTTTACAGGTGGTTATACACAGGTGGTTAGGACTGACACCTCTGGGAATTATCCACTATGACGTGATGCTCTATCTGGATGTCTAACCTTTAGCAATGCCGACATACAGTGTATGAAAAGTATTCCACACTCACCACTCCTCATGATGCTGACTCCACAGTTTCCCTTCTCAAAAGTAATCCCATCATAACTATAGCCTGCAGGGCAGCAACAGGAGGCATTTAACAGTCAGCACAAAAGACGGTTTTTGTTTCTACAAGTCTGCTGTGATGAAAAAAATGTCAACATCTTTACAATGCAGATTGTTCTTCACAGCAATGACTAGCATAAGTACATGTATGCACACCTAAAATTTTGTTAGTCCTTCTGCAGTCTTCTTCAGAATTCGAATGACCAATTGACTACAAACTATAAAATGACACAGTATTCTATAAAATGATGATAATGCAACTGTTCCTACCAGTAGGCGTGGTAACTGACATAGGAGAATACGGCAGCTGGTTCAGACCTTCTTCAACTACTAGTCTGATCTGTGGGAGGGAAGGGAGGGACATGTTGGGATGAGGATCCAATTTTTATATTGAATACTATATAAGTTATAACGTTATACATTGCATTTGTGACCGAAAATGATCTGAGCAGTCTGCGGTTTTTGGTCTAACAAAAATACAGTGCTAGTACAAATAGTTGGGCAACCAAAACTATCTCAGCAATACTAGCAACACTTACCAGTCGGTCAGCACAAAACACAAAATCACTTCTAGATGTTTCTCTGAAAGAGAAATACAAAATTACTACCAATGACTTTCTAAAATTGTCAGGCTTTCAAATGTCCATGTCAAATTTTAGCAACAACTGTTTATGTATATAAGTGTTGGTGGGTTAGTTACAAACTAACTAACCAACTAACAAACATAGTTTTGATAACAGAAGAGGGAGGGGGGCACTCACACATCCCTGAGTACCGTCTGTAGCTCTCTCAGCTGCCCGGTGCTCTTCAGTACCCTGACGTTAGCCCCTATGTCCTGGCAGGCTTGGTTAGACGTAATCGTCGCCATAATGCCGGGCAGATCGTCATAAATTAGAGTAAAGCATCCGCCAAACCATCACAAACATTTCATCATAACTTTTGGACATACGCCTCAGTACAGCGCCATGACCTTAGATATTCATGCGCGTTAGAAAGTAGATCCGATACAAAATCAAATAAATTAATGCTCATGTGATTTTTATGACGCTTATTTCAAAAGTTTTCTACATTTACACAAGGTTTTATTATTATAAAGCCATTAAATTAATGCTTGTAAGCCTATACATGTTGTATGACCCATCACAAGAGAAAGTGCGGAAGAATATCTGAGGTCAATGACCTTACGTACCCTCACATCTACATCCAAAATGGCGGCGATTCTGGTGTCCTCCAAGTTCGTCTGTTGTTTCGGGCCGAAATTTCAGATCAACAACGTCGCACAGAGGAGCCAGCGCTTCGGTTCGCTAGCGGGATGGAGGGGCAACTTTCTGGAGCGCAAAACCGTCCAGGTTTTCCGAACGCAGGTCGGTTTTTTGATTGATGAGAATAGGTGAAAGGAAGGGGGAGGGGCGGCGTTTTAGAAGGCCGGGTCGCTCTGTCGTCTGCTGTTTGAAGTTGGTTGCGAAATTCTGCCGTCTGCGGAACCATATGGTCTGAAGGTTCGCCGGTTTGCGTGGTGTGGGACAGGGAACTTCAACTGATTGTTAGTTCGTACACGCAGAGTTGTACGTGTATGTATTCGTGTTGTCTGGAAGCTTAAATCATCCTAGCCTTCGAATATTCCGCCCCCCTCCCACTCAGGCTAACATCTGGTTTATTAGTTTCCATATTCCAGTGTCTAACATCTGCACATTAGCTTCATGCCTACGCGAGAGTTATGTTTCTCTCTTATCGGCCAGCATCAAAGCAGTAAAACAAAGATAAAAATCTACACACGTTTCAAAACTATTTTCCTATGTACCCAGATCTATTCTAAGGGACTGT